AGATATTTCAGTTGGTAAAATGCTTGCCATGAGAGCATCAACACCTCATCTAGATCCTTAGGACCCATGTATTATAGCTGGCTGTGGTGGGACAGATTTGTAATTCCAGTACATGAGAAGTTGAGACTTTCGGGCCCCAACAGCTTGATCAGCCACATTAGCCAGTTATCAAGCCGCAGGCCAAGTAAAGACCTTATCTCAAAATAAGGTGGACAGTGACCATAAGACAACACCTGAGGTTGACCTCTGCTGTATACACACACATACACACTCCACACCCCTATATATCTACTTTAAATTTTTTAAGAACGCATTTCAAATGTTTACATCACAAAAAATAATTATTTCAATTAGTAGATAGGTAATTTGCTTGATTTAATCATTCTACGCTGTATAAGTATGTGTGTATATGTAGGTATAAAAATATGCTGTTCCCCATAAACATATCATTTGTCAGTACACATGAAAACAGTACAAATTAAAAACATGAACCGTCTCTGCAGTGAGTTAAAAAGCAAACAGGTGGTGACACCTTTAATCCCAGCACTCAGGAATTCAAGGCCAGCCTAGTGTACAGAGAGTTCCAGGACAGCTAAAGCTACACTTGAGAAACCCTGTCTCAAACAACCAAGCAAACAAATAAAAACTATACCCTGTGTGTGGTTATCCATGTCTTTAACCTTAGCAGTGGCAGGGAGAGGGGGAGTGAGGAGGAGTGGAGCAGAGGCAGGTGGATCTATATGGATTTAAAGCTAGCCTGGTCTGCAAAGAGTTCCCAACCAAAAACAAGAAGAGAAAAACGGTAAGATGTACTTCAAAGGAAGTATATGAAAACCATGTGCAACTGCTATTCTGGTTGTCCTGTTACTTGATACGTAGACCAGGCTGGCTTGGAACTTGTGGAGATCCTTCTGCCTCTGCCTCTTGAGCATTAGTGTTACAGATGTGAGACATCTGGCCTTGTTTTGTAGCAGTTGCCTGGGAGTTCAAACATTTCATTCTAGAGCAGCAGTTTTCAACTGGTGGTTCACAGCTCCTTTAGGTTTGCATGCCACATATCCTGCATATCAGATATTTACAATTCATAACTGTAGTAAAATTACAGTTATGAAATAGCAGTGGAAGATTTTTATGGTTGGGCTCACCATAACATAAGGAATTATATTAAAGAATTGCAGCATTAGGATGGTTGAGAACCAGTCTTCTAGAGGAAGGTTCCTTAAAGCTCAGAAAATTCTAAGTACTAAATTGAAACATTTCTTCCAAAGTAAACAACTCACAAGTCTCAAGAAATTCTTGAAACTAACAAGATACACAGGGACTCTCCTCCTTCCTCATCTACAGCCTTCCCCCCGCCCCCCCTTTTCCCTCTTAAAGAAATAGGAACAGTTGTTAGAGGTAAGAGAGGAGGTAGAGCTGAGAGCTGTTTGGAGGGGGCTTTCTGATCTGTTGTGCTACCTCAAGTTGTGCAGAGAGCTCTACCAATGTAGCTTTCCAGTATCATCACTCAGGTTGTGGTTGATGCAGTTGCCTTTGAATTAACAACTGTCCCTGCTTCTGTGATTAATCGCAGTAAGCTAATTGGTTTTTCAAATTGCTCTTCGTGTAATTGTCACTTTCGTCTGGAGTGGTTACTTATCCAGGATGAGTAGACATCAGTTTTCATCTCCATAGTAAGCCTCACCTTACTGTTAGGGTTAGGCTAGGTTTTTCACAGTGAAAGGTCATCTTACCAATTGGGTAAGTGTTGATCATATCCCCTTTCTATCTATACAAAGTTTGATAGATGTTCTCACAGCTAAGCAACAAGAAAGGTGTGTTCTCTTACTCTAGTGTTTTATTTACACACATCAGAAATCCATTATAAAAGTAGATTTAAAAGGTGATTTGTTAAATTGGGCATGGTTGCACATTCCTTTAATTCATCATTTAGGATGCAGGCATAGGAGGATCTTTGTGAGTACCATGCCAGTCTGGTTGGTTTACATAGTGAGTTCCAGGCCTGCCAGAGCTACACAGTGAAACCCTTTCAAGAAAAGTGTAAAAGGTTATTGGTTCATCAAAAAAAAACAAAAACAAAAACAAAAACAAAAAAACAACAAAAAAACCCCACCCCATTTGTGGCCTTTCTGGCCTACTAGGGCTTTGTTTGGGCTTCTGTGCCTGCTTTTCTTCTTTTTTTTCCTCATTTTGATGTTGGCCACTCACTAGAAGGTGCAACTCTACAGGTGGAACACAAATGCTTTCCTTGGGGAACATTCTAAATTTGTTCTCTTATCTTCTCTGAGATTCAGTGCTGTGGTCTGGCTTTGGGTGGCTGAGGAACAGTGTGCTCTTCTGAAAGCTTTTCTTGGTGGTCTGCTTCTTGACCCTATGCCCTGCGCTTAGTAGTTTTCTGCTTCTCTTTCCCAGTGGTGTGTGGCATTGCCTCACTTGCCGAGCTCTAAGACTCAGCTGTGCTCCAGGCCTTGGACTTTCCCCTGGTTTAGAAAGGTCTTTTGTGTTTTCCTAGAAAATTGGGGATGAATCGGGTGCTATGTGGTAAGGTATGCTGATCCTTGTAGGATCTAGTTTGATAGTTGTTTAAACAGGATGTAGCAATTTGGATTGGATTTGGAAGGGAGGATTGTTGCCAATTCTCTGAAATAGGCCATTGACCCTATCCTTTCCCCCTATTTTCCTTTTGTTTGTTTGACCTGGTCTCATATGGCCCAGGCTTGACTTCTGTGTAGCAAAGGATGGCTTTGACCAGTTCCTGATCCTCCCATCACCCCTTCCCAAATGCTGGATTATGGATATGTGCCACAATACCCAAGTCTCCTTTGCTTTCCTACCCTGTCTTTGAGATGGGATTTTGCTATGTAGCCTTTGATTGGCTGTGTAACCAGGGTGGCCTAGAATTTAGGACCAATTCTTTGCTTCTTTAGTGCTGAAATTTCAGGCACATATAACCCTTATTTCGTGACCCTCCTCCTCTTTTGAGGAAAGGTCTCAATTATATAGTACTGCCTGTCTTACTTAATATGTAAAACAGGGTAGCCTCAAACTCCCAAAGATCTGCCTGTCTCTATGATGGGATGAAGGCCATGTGCCATCGTGCCTAGCCTCGTCCCCATATTTTTCATCATAAGTTAGTGAAGAGAGATTTCCCTAGTCCATGCTCACATAGTAGGCTGGGTGTCATGCCTTTGGAGCAGCTTCAAGTTTAGTATTTTTTCCTCGGCATTGGTGGTAGTTGAAGAAAAAAGTATGGTTTAATATGAGTAGATACATCTTTTTGTTGTTATTTTTTTTGAGTGGGTCTCACTAAACAACTTTGGCTGTCTTGAAAATCACTGTGTAGACCACGCTGGCCTTGAACTCACAGAGATCCTCCTGCCTCTGCTTCTTGAGTGCTGGGATTAAAGGCATGTGCTACTATGCCCAACTGAGTAGGTACATCATAATTGTGAGTTGATTGACAGATAATATGGGTATAGTTAAAATTAAGAAATTTCTAAATTTTTGAACTAATAACCAAGAAAAGTTTCTAGATGGGTAGAACAGAATCACAACACAGTAATCTTTTAGCCATTCAAAATATATGTGCAGGGGCTGGAAGATGGCTCAGTGGTTAAGAGCACAGGCTGCTCTTCCAGAGGTCCTGAGTTCAATTCCCAGCAACCACATGGTGGCTCACAACCATCTGTAACAAGCTCTGGCGCCCTCTTCTGGAACACAGGCATACATGGAGGCAGAAGGTTGTATACATAATAAAAAAAAATCTTTAAAAAATATATATGTGCACAAAAATCCCAATTTAAATAATTCTAAAATGGCCGAGTGGTGGTGGCGCACGCCTTTAATCCCAGCACTTGCAGAGGCAGACAGATCTCTGTGAGTTGGAGGCCAGCCTGGTCTACAAGAGCTATTTCTGGGCTGGAGAGATGGCTCAGCCGTTAAAGGCTAGACTCACAACCAAAAATATAAGAGTTTGGTTCCCAGCACCCACGGCTGTCTCTCCAGACATCTCTCTCTCTCTCTCTCTCTTTTTTTTTTTTTTTAAAGCTATTTTGGGGGCTGGAGAGATAGCTCAGAGGTTAAGAGCACTGCCTGCTCTTCCAGAGATCCTGAGTTCAATTCCCAGCAACCACATGGTGGCTCACAACCATCTGTAATGAGATCTGGTGCCCTCTTCTGGCCTGCAGGCATACACGCAGACAGAATATTATATACATAATAAATAAATAAAGCTACCGAGAAACCCTGCTTGAGGTGTGTGTGGGGGATTCTAAAATGAAGAAATAGCTGTTTTGGCTAAAGCCAGAGTACTGGCAGAGTGCTCTATTCCCAACTCTTAGGAGGAGTTATTTCTCATTTCTCATTATTTCTTCATGGGTCCCAGACCTGTTTCCTCTCTCTGATTTGATTCTACTTTCTGGCCTAAAATGTAAAGAATAAAAATTACACAAATTTTAACCCTTTTAAAATACTTTTAATGCTTTATTTGTTTATTATATATGCAGTGTTCTGCTGTATGCTGGAAGAGGGCACCGGATCTCATTACAGGTGGTTGTGAACCACCGTGTCGTTGCTGGGAATTGAACTCAGGACCTTTGGAAGAGCAACCAGTGCTTTTAATCTCTGAGCCATTTCTCCAGCCTCTTAAAATATTTTTTACATTAAAATTTAAAATATTTAAAATTCCTTTTATTTACTTGTATGTGTACTCATTCGAGCATTTGGAGGTCAGAGGACAATTTGCAGGAATCTTCTTTTCCTTCTCCCATGTGGGACCTGGCGATTGAACTAGTGGCAGATGTTTTTACATGCTAAACCATCCTTTTTTTTTTTTTTTTTTTTTTTGAGACAGAGTTTCATGTAGCCCAGACTGGCCTAAAACTTCATATGTACCTGAGTCTTGTTTGGGGAACAAATAATAATCTTTGCCTGTTGTCTCTTTTATATTTCTAAAATATGTTCTCTTCTTACTAATTATTCTTTCTTTGTTTATTAAATAGGCTACCAAGCAGTTTCTTGAGGAGATCAACAAGTGGACAGTTCAGTACAATGTTTCTCCACTCTCTTGGAACGTGGCTGTCAAGTTCCTCATGGCCAGAAAATTCGATGTGCTTCGTGCCGTAGAGTTGTTTCACTCCTACAGAGTACGTGGGTCATGTGGTCTGTAGCAGTTGAGCTAAGTATTGCTGTTCTCTGTGCGCTCCTCACACACACTGGATCAGCGTCCAGCAGCTGGGAGAGCTGAGGTTGGACTGGCCAGCTCCTGGAAATACTCTGTATGTACCCAGAGTTTGCTGCGATGGTGGAGGCTAAGGAAATTCCTTGGCATCAGCCTGTGACAACTCCTCCTTGGAGTCTGAGTCTTTGCTCTTCTCTGCCTCCTGCCTGACCTATTTGGTACACTTCACAGGTGTTTGAGGTCCTTTGAAGTTTTACGAAGCTGCCGTTCTGATAACTGAAGAGCTTAGAGAGAGCTGTTCAAGAAAGGGGGGGTATTAACTCTAGAAAAGAAAAACAGATATTAGCTAAGTTCTGTTCTTAGAAGTTACTTTTTTTAAATTTTTAAAATAAATTTTTTTAATTTTATATGCATTGATGTCTGTGTGAGGGTGTCAGACTTGGAGTAACAGACATTTGTAAGCTGTCATGTGAGTGCTGGAAATTGAACCTGTATTTACTGGGAGAATAACCAGTACTCCTAACCGCTGACCGTCTGTCTCTCCAGACCCCTTGTTTTTTTTTTTTTTTTTCTCTTGACACAAGGTTTCTCTATTTCCTGGAATTCACTATGTAGACCAGGATGGCCTCAAACTCATGGAGTTTCTCTGTCTCCTGAGTGCTGGACCAAAGGCGTGCACCATTATGCCTGACTACATAGCTACAATACTCACAGTGCCATGATTGCTACCTAGAAGAGGTAGTAAATAAACTTACAGATGTGTTCTGATGAGAGTGTAGTACTCTGGAAGAGCATTTAGCTAAGCAAAGGAAGCATTCCTAAAAAAAAATAACTAATAGCTGGACATAGTGGGTCACTCTTTTAATCCTAGCATTCAGGAGGCAGGGGCAGTTGATCTCTGTGAATTCCAGGCCAAGCCTGTTCTATATATTGAGGTCTAGGTCAGCCAGGGCTGAATAGTGGCACCTTGTTTCAAAAACAAAACCAAACCAAAAAACCACAGCTAAAGGATGGTTAGGAATCAAGCCCTGGTGAAGTATAGTAAAGAAAGCATGTGGGCTGGAGAGATAACTTAGCTATTAAAGGTTTACAACCAAAAATACAAGAAACTGTAAGTTCAGATGCCCAGTGCTGGAAAGTAAAATTTAGCGAAGCCAGAATGGTTAGTAGGAGTCAAGGTAAAAGACTGAGAGCACAGATCAATAAAGCCAGGTCGTTAAGGCCTCAGAAATCCATTAGTAATACAGACAACATGGTAGGGGTTTCCATATTTGCATTCCAGAAAGATTTTGACATAGTAGTTTTTAGAGAGTGTGTCTCAGCTGTTATCCTGGAGCCAGAAGGTCAGTTTAAGGACTGTTAAATTTACAAGGAGAGAGAGTGTCAGTATTATTAATACATAATGTCAGGGGAGGTGGAGAAAAGTAGGTCAGAGCTGCTTAAACTAGTGTGTGAGGGGAGGTATCAGTGCTGGCGTTCATTAACTTAGGAGAGGAAAGTGGGGTGGGTTCATGGTAGAAAGAAGGACATAATTTTAATTTGTCTGTGCCTGTGGGATATCCAAATAGACTTGTCTGTCCTTTAAGCAGATAGAATATGAGCATGGGCTGCAGAAAAGAAATCTGTACTAGAGACAGAGATTTCTAAATGACCAACTAGAGCGACTGTTGGAGGCAGCAGAAGAGTTCCTGGTGGAACAGTTAATTGCCCTGGAGTGCAGGCATGTTACAAAGGAATTCACAATTCATTTATATTTCTAACTTGCCTTAGCTCCGAGCTATGTAAAGTTGTTCTGGATATATCGTATTTCCATATTAATTCATCTCTTTATTATTTCCTTTTTAGGAAACAAGAAGGAAGGAAGGCATTGTGAAGCTGAAACCTCATGAGGAACCTCTCCGTTCTGAGATCCTCAGTGGAAAATTTACCATCTTGGTGAGTCTTTAGAGCCTGTCTTGGCTTTGTTACTTTGTCTTGTCCTATTTGGATTTTTGTGCCTAGGTTCCTTATCAACACATTTTGCTACTAAATTATTCTAATAATAGTTGAATAATTACTAATTGAAAATTACTAGTTATTAATAATAGTTGAATTATTGAGCTTTGGAGTAGTAGACGTAAACATTTTTCTTCATTGATCCCTCTAAGTTGTTGGTCAGCATCTTGGGAAGGCTAATAGTGTGTCAGAGCATAGCATACCCTTACCTAATGGAAGCTCTCGTTTATAGAGATCTCTTGGTTTCTCAGATGAATATGTAATAATATGTTTAAGGTAGCACGGAAACCATTATCTTGATCTGTTTTTCTCCATCCTGCCTGGGAAATTAGTTACAAATCCAGTGCAAAATTATCCTTGGATTGCTCTGCAGTTGAAGAAAATGTGATTTTTTTTTTTCAGAGCTACGAGAATATGGTTCTAGGAAATGCTGATAGGATCAGACATGGGTAATGATAACATTTTTCCCTTTGTGGAAGAACAGACACAAATCAAGGAGTTTTGTTGGTAGCTGTTCTCATCATATGTCAACTCTTTATCCAGGATAATAAGTCTAAAAGATTGCTGTGATTTTTTTAAAATTATTATTTGATTTCTAAATATTTCTTGTTTATTTGCTTTAGAATGTTCGAGATCCAACTGGAGCCTCCATTGCCCTTTTCACTGCCAGGCTACATCATCCTCACAAGTCCGTCCAACACGTGGTACTTCAGGCCTTGTTTTACTTGCTGGACAGAGCTGTGGACAGGTGAGCATTGAGATTATCTTATAGGTATCTACCTCATTAGGAAAGTGACAGTTTTTTTTTCCTTTTTTTTTTTTGATTTTATTTATTTATTATGTATAGAAAGTCTGCCTCCATGTATGCCTGCAGGCCAGAGGGTGCCAGATATCATTACAGATGGTTGTGAGCCACCATGTGATTGCTGGGAATTGAACTCAGGTCCTCTGGAAGAACAGTCAGTGCTCTTAACTGCCAAGCCATCTCTCCAGCCCTGGAAAGTGACAGTTTTAAATTGATGAAATTCAGAAGTGCTCCTACCATGTCCTTAGGATACAGCCTAGACAGCCTCTGAGTAGAAAATACCTCATGTTGTTACGAGTGTTTATTCTTAGCACCATCCTGATGCTGGATACTCTTTGTTTTCATCGCCTTGCCTATTTTAGGATTAACAGAAACTGAGAAAGACAATTCCTAATAGTTAATACATTGAGGATAGAGGAAAGAGACTGTGTTGATTCCGTGTGTGTGTGTGTGTGTGTGTGTGTGTGTGTGTGTGTATGTATTAATATAAGGCATCCATATGCTATCATTAGGCTAAATCCTAATCTGTCTTTTTTTTTTTTTTGAAAAATATTATTAACCTTTTACTTTGAGATATAGTCTTAGTTGCCCAAAGTAAGATATAGTCTTACTTTGAGATATAGACTTAGTTGCCCAGGCTAGGCTTGAAATCATTCTTTAGCTTAGTCCAGATATGAATTTGCTGTCCTTCTGCTTCAGCATCTCACATAACAGAGATTATAGGCCTGTATCACCAGACCTAGGTCATCTGTTTGTTGGTTTTTGTTCATATTAAAACTCTCTGGGTGCTAGAGATATGGCTCAGAAATTAAGAACACTGGATGCTCTTCTAGAGGACCTAGGTTCAATTCCTAGCACCCACGTGGTGGCTAATAACAATCACAACTTCAGTCCTATGTACATATAGGCAAAACACACACATGAAATAATAATAATAATAATAATAATAATAATAATAATAATAATAATAATAATAAAATACCACCACCAACAACCCTCTGGGATAACCTGGGGATGTACAGGGGTAGCTACTTCTCTAACATGTGGAAGACCCTAAGTTCTTTCTCTAGTATGGAAAAACAAAGATAAAACAAGCTAGGCCCAAGCAGATCTCTGGTTTTGAGGCCAGCCTGCTTTACAGAGCTTGTTCAAGAACAGCAAAGCTAGCTGGGCCACGGTGGCGCATGTCTTTAATCCCAGCACTCAGGAGGCAGAGGCAGGAAGATTTTTGTGAGTTCGAGGCCAGACTGGTCTACAAGAGCTAGTTCCAGGACAGGCTCCAAAGCTACAGAGAAAGCCTATCTCGAAAAACCAAAAAAAGTTTATAAACAAAAACAGCAAGGCTACACAGAGAAACCCTGTCTTGAAAACCAAAAACCCCCCCAACCAACCAACCAACCAACCAACCAACCAACCAAACAAACAAACAAAAACCAAGCCAGGCCTAGTGGTATCCACAATTTTAGCATTGAAGAATCAGAGGCAGGAGGATCACCACAAATTTGAGGTTTGCAAGGTCTATATAGTAAGTTCCAGGCTAGCTAAGGCTACATAGAGAAAAATCTGTCTTGATAAAAACTAAACCAAAACAACAAGCCAATCTGGAAGCTGGGGTTATGTGGCTTGCTGGTGGAGTGCTTGCCTAGCTTGCCTATTGCCCTGTGTTCCCAGTACTACAAAAATAATTAGCCAGGTGGGTTGGTGCATGCCTTTAATCCCAGCATTCTGGAAGCAGAGACTGGTGGGTCTTTGTGAGTTTAAGGTTATCTTGGTCTACATAGTGAGTTCCAGGCTATCCAGAGCTATAAAGTGGTTTCCTGCCTCACAAAAAGAATGTGTTGGGGGTTGGGGTGCCGGGAGATGACTTAGCAGTTTTGAGTACTGGCTAATCATTCAGAGGACTGGATCTCTATTCCCAACAATCATTGATAGCTCCAATTCCAAGGGCGTCTGACACCATCTTTGATTTCTGTGGTTACTAGACATGTGATGCAAATACATGTATAGAGGCAAAACGCTCATACATATGAAGGAAATTAAAAATAACCATTGGAGGGCTGGAGAGATGGCTCAGAGGTTAAGAGCACTGACTGTTCTTCCAGAGGTCCTGAGTTCAATTCCCAGCAACCACGTGATGGCTTACACCTATTTGTAATGAGATCTGGTGCCCTCTCCTGGCCTGCAGGGATATGTGCAGGAAGAACCCTATATACATAAAAATTAATAAATAAGTTTAAAAAAAAGATAAAAAAATAACCATTGGTTTGTTGACCTATTATACCTGTAATGTCAGTGCTTAAGTGGGGGAAGATGCTATAATTTTGAGGCCAGCTTAGGCTGTGAGAAGAGACTGTCTCCAAAAGGGAGCAAAAAACAAAACAAAAACTGACCACAGCCTATGGGGGTCAGACACAGTATTACCTTAAAGCCTGATGTGGTAGGAGTGTGAGTTTGAGGCTAGTTTGAGTTTCATAGAGATATCTCCTGTTGCATGTAGCTCGAGTCAAACTTCCCAGGGAAGCAGTTGGCTACCCTTGTGACACTGCATAGTGCGCACAAGAAATCTCTTTATGTTCTGTAGTAGTCCCTGTTTTCAGAGGGTGAGGAATTCCACATAGACTATAGAACCTGGGTCAGTTCTTAATTCATTTCCCATCACTGACTTGTTTTAGGCCCCTATCTTAAGAAGAAAGTTTGTAATTATTTTAAATGCCCCTAGTTGAGCTTGTGGAGAAATGGAAACTCTCTAGCCTCAATTGACAGCATCTGTGATCTTCCTGAATGATAGTTTCTGTGTGGTTATGAAAAAGGAATCAAGATTAATATTAATGCATTAGGGGCCAGTAGAAATAAATTCTGCCAGAAAAACTTCTGTGCATTTTAGAAAGAAATGTTTTTTTCTTGCTTTTTAGAAAGTTAATTCACTGATCCTGAGATATATTAGATATACAACAAATTTTAAATTTACATACATGAACTGAATTTTGAAGTATTTCCTTTTTTTTTTTCCCCTCTCGAGACAGGGTTTCTCTGTAGCTTTGGAACCTGTCCTGGAACTAGTGAATTTTGAAGTATTTTCATACACACATAATCGGCAGGTTACTTCTGAGTTGGTACTTCCCTCTTCAGTGTTGTAGAAGTATGATGGTGTGGGGGCTACAGGAGGGAAGCAAAGATGAGGATGCAAAATAATAACTGTGGGATGGCTCATACCTGTAATCGTAGCACAAAGGAGAGTGAATCAGGGGGATTGCTTTGAGTTTGAGGCAAGCCTGATTTACATAGTAAAGCTAGCCTGGACTACATGAAATCCTCTTTGGAAAAAACTAAAACAAATAAGTGTAAAACTTGTTATCTAGAAATAATACGATTAAATGATTTATTTCTGGATTGGCAAGATTGCTTAGTATCTCAAAGCACTTTTCATATAAGCTTGAGGACCTGGAAGGAAAGGAGGGAGCTGACTCTTAGGAGTTGTGTTCTGATCCCACACTTCCTGGCACACGCCTCTCCTCCCTACCCATGATGATGATAATTCTAATAACCTTCTGAGTCATAAAAGCATCTAAGCATCTCACTTAACTTTGGATAAAATATTTGTATTGAATTAAATGTTTGTTTAATTGGTTTACAGCTTTGAAACTCAAAGGAATGGATTGGTGTTTATCTATGACATGTGTGGTTCCAATTATGCCAACTTCGAGCTAGATCTTGGCAAGAAAGTCCTAAACCTGCTGAAGGTAAGGTTGTAAAGGGGAAATCCTTTTAAGTCTCGCTCTTGCTCTCAAACCAATACAATAACAACATAAAATGAATAAAAAACTGAAACGGAAATAATGAAAATGAACAATTTCCAGGAAATTCTTAGTTATTAAAGTGTCTTTTTCCAGAGTTTTGTGGAACAGTAACTCATAAAGGCCTACCCATGGGAACTGTGAGAAATGCCAGCTAGCAGGAACTTTCTAGACATGTGCTGGTCGACTCAGGGTGAAGTGTGTTTTGCACTACACTTCAGTGTGTTCACTTCAGTGCATGTGAGTTCATTTGGTCTACTCATGTTCATGTAGAATTACGCACATATACAGATGTGTATAAGTCCTATACACGTAGCTTCATAGTTCCTTATCCCTAAGACCTAGGCCTAGTGACTTGTTTTGTAAATGTATGTATACATGTATGTGTGTGTGTACAGGTGCACTTGTGTGCTTGTTTATGTGGAGGAGAGCAGACAACCTTAGGTGTCATCCTCAGGCATGTCATCCACTTTTTTGAGACATAGTCTGTTATTGACCTACAGTTCACCAGTCAGTCTAGAGTAGCTGGCTAACACGCCCCAGGGATCCTCCTGTTCCTGCTTCACCCCCTTGGGTTACAAATGTATGACACTACACTTAGCAATTTTGCATTAGTTCTAGAAAACGAATTCAAATCCTTGTGCTTATGGGGTAAACATACTACCCACTTAGTTAACTTCCCCAGCCATAAAGGTATTTTTGCTTTTTTATTTTAAAAGGTGATGCGGCAGGGCTGAAGATACAGTTAAACTGGTAGCATTCAGAGGCCTTGCATTTGATTCCAAGTACCTAGAGCAGGGGGATGAGAAGCTTATGGTCATCCTTGGCTACGTAGCAAGTTCTCTGCCAGCATAGCTTGTTTTTCTGTTGCTGTGACAAAAATACCACGACTAAAGCATGTATAAAAGACAGGATTTAATTGGTCTTATGGTTTCAGAGGGTTAGACCCCATTGTGCTGGAACAGAAATCTGGTCATAGTAACGGTTAAGGACTCACATCTTGATCTGTAGCTGGAGGGAGAACACGCTGGGATTTGTACTAGTCTTTTTTTTTTTTTTTAATATTTTATTATGTACAGTATTCTGTCTGCTTGTATGCCTGCAGGCCAGAAGAGGGCGCCAGACCTCATTACAGATGGTTGTGAGCCACCATGTGGTTGCTGGGAATTGAACTCAGGACCTTTGGAAGAGCAGGCAATGCTCTTAACCACTGAGCCATCTCTCCAGCCCCATGTACTAGTCTTTTGAAACGTCAAAGCTTGCCCTCAGTAATACACATTCTCTAACAAGGCCACACTTCCTAATTCTTCCCAAACACTTCCACCAACATGGAAACAGTTACTCAAATATGGGCCTATGGGAGCCATTCTCATTCATTCTACTAGAATGGGCTGCTTGAGACCATGTCTCAAATAACAGCACCCCCCCCCACAAACTTCATTATAATGTATAACTATTTAATATGATTAAGGAAGGTTGAATGACATAAAATAATTTGTACAAGCCAGCTATGGTGATACATGCCTATAATCTCAGCACTCATGGTAGGAGTTCAAGATCACCCTGGACTACATAACCAGATCCTTTGTCTCAGAAAACAAAAATAAAAATATGCAAGTGAAATAACTTAACTGTTCAAGAGTTGGGAGTATAGCTCAGTTGGAGAGTATGCACTTGGCATTTGTGATGGGTATTGTCATGGGCTTATAATACTAGCACTTGGGAAGCTTAGGCAGAAAGTTTGTCAAAGATTTAGGGCCAGAATGGGCTACATATGAGTGCCAGCTCAACCCAGGCTGACTGTAGTCAATACTCTGTCTTCAACTAAGGTAAAAGAACAAAACAAAACAAAAATATTTGGGCCAGGTTGTCCTAGCCAGGAGAAAAGCAGAGGCAGATGGATCTCTGTGAGTTCAAGGCCAGCCTAGACTCCTTAGCAAGTTCCAAACCAGTCAGAACAATACAGTGAGACCCTTTCTTGGTGGGGTGTGGGGGTGGAGGAGCATTTGTATTTCTAGAATAACATTTCAGAAATAGAATTGACTAAAGGGTATATGTACATTTTAAAGAATATATAATGGGCCGGGCCGTGGTGGCGCATGCCTTTAGTTCCAGTTCTTGGGAGGCAGAGGCAGGAAGATCTCTGTGAGTTCAAGGCCAGCCTTGTCTACAAGAGCTAGTTCCAGGGCAGGTTCCAAAGCTACAGAGAAACCTGTCTCAAAAAAGAAAAAAAGAGGAAGAGATGGCTCAATGGTTAAGAGGCTCCCAGAGAACCAGGTTCATGTCCCATCAAACCATGGCAGCTCACAACTGTCTGTGGTTTTAGCTCTCTAGGTATCCAGCATCCTCACAGCAATGCACATAACATAAAAAAATTTAATTAAAATAAAAGGATATATAATGGAAATTGTCTCCTAAAGACACCATCAATGAGCAGGTCTACCAAGTCTGAATGAAAAAGCCTTTGAAGGGGCTGGAGAGATGGCTTAGAGGTTAAGAGAACTGACTGCTGTTCCGGAGTTCAATTCCCAGCAACCACATGATGGCTCACACCCACCTATAATGAGATCTGGTGCCCAGAACATTATACACATAATAAATAAATTAAAAAAGAAAATGAAAAAGCCTTTGACGAATTTTGTTGTATAGTCTGTATAGGGAGTAATTGTAAATTTCTCAAATTTAGTAGAACCAAAACTAACTGGAGCCCAGTGGTGGTATCACATGCCCAGGACAGCTGGGGATACACTGAGACAAAGAAGCAAGCAAAGACTTAACTAAAAAGACAGAGAGTAACAAATGAAATTGAGAGTGGCTTATTCAAAATGGAAGAAAAATTAGGGTAGGAGTTTTTTTTTCCCCCTGGAGATAGGGTTTCTCTGTGTAACTTTGGAGCCTGTCTTGACACTCACTCAGTAGACCAGGCTGACCTTGAACTCACAGATTTGCCTTTTGCCTGTCTCTGCCTCCTGAGTACTGGAATTAAAGATGTGTGCCAACACCCAACCTTTTTTTTTTTTTTTTTTTTTTTTAGACCAGGCTGGCCATGAACTCACAGAGATTCTCCTGCCTTTGGCTCCTGAGTGCTAGGATAAAAGGCATGTGCCACCACTGCCAAGCCATATTTTTTGTTTTTTTGAGATTAGGTCTTTCCCAGGGACTTGGGGCTCATTGATTATTAGGCTAGGCTGCTGGCTAGTGGGCCTCGGGGAGCCATCTCTCTGTCTCACTTGTGCTGGTATTACATGACTGGGTTTTTATGTTGGCACTGGAGGTTGAATTCAGGTCCTCTGTACTTAGATGGTATGCACTTTACAGATTGAGCCATCCCTCCAGCCCCCTGATTTCTTATTACATGGGAACCCTGCCCCCAAGAAAGGCTGGAATATTAAATATTGGAATGAAGCCAAGCACTTGTGGCTTAGCAATGATCTTTATGTCTTGTAGACACAAGATTATCTCTTTTTTCCCCTCTAAGAGTAGTTTAGACTATTTCCTTTTCTGAGACCTAATTTGTACTTGTACACACTAGACCATATTTATTTATTTATGTATTTATTTTGTGGTGTTAGGTATCAAACCTAGGTCATGTGCATGCTAAACACACACTATCATTGAGTTATACCTCCAACCTAGGTTGTGTATCTTGGTTTAATAAATAAACAAGTGGAGAAAAGACTAAAAATAGAAATATTATAGATGGGCGATGGTGGCATACACCTTTAATCCCAGCACTTGGGAGGCAGAGGCAGGCAGATCTCTGTGAGTTGGAGACCAGCCTGGTATATAGAGGATGTTCCAGGACAGGCTCCAAAGCTATGCTGAGAAGCCCTGTTTTTAAAAACAAAATAAAACAAAACAAATAAAATAAATATTATACACATACACACACATACATGCATACACACATATCAAACTAAAACTTATATAAGTAAATTGTGTATCTTCAGTTTATTAAAAACTGTAAGTTGTAATAAGCTGAACTTTTATAGGAGGCATATGTATGTGCTGGTGTGTGATATGTGAGGCACAAACAGGAAAGTCAGGCCTGCAAGATGACTCGGGGGGTAAAGGCACTTGCTGAGAAAGCCTGGTGGCCTGCGTTCAATACCTAGAATCCATATGGACACTGTGGAACTTATACTCACTAATAATAAAAAATAAAAGAATAGGGGGCTGGAGAGATGGCTCAGTGGTTAAGAGCACCACCTGCTCTTCCAGAGGTCCTGAGTTCAATTCCCAGCAACCATATGGTGGCTCACAACCATCTGTAATGAGATCTGGCACCCTCCTCTGGCGTGTGGGCATACATGGAGGCAGAATGTTGTATACATAATAAACAAATAAATCTTTGAAAAAATAAAAGAATAATTTGTGATCTCTAAAGTGTATGGTTGACATGAGTGTAACACACATTTAGAGTAGATCAGCTTCTAGTTTCTTTCTTTTACAAGACAGGGAAAATAAAATTTTATTTACCCATGAAACTGTACATAGGAAAACATAATAACTTCAATGCTGTACTGTCCAATTTTCAATTCTTAAGGAACATTATTTATCACATAACTTTCAAAATCTGGTCCAGCGCAGCAAACAGGTTTCAATAGAAGCATTTCCTCTGGTAATGGCTTGTTCACTGTGACGCACAGGTCTGTGAAGGACCATCACTTACGGAAGCTTTGGGTTAGAATCACAGGATAGCTGAATTTTTGGTCACAGAGCTTAGCACTGGTGTATGCAAATGTTCCACAAGGGTATCCTGCACACAGGCACAATCTTCTGCAAGCCTCGCAGAGCAACACCCGCCTCCTGCTGTGGGCACTGGGTTGACTTTGAGTACGCATACATGATGGTGTGTGATTTCTTACAAGCTCCTTTTTCCGGTTTGCTTGTAGTTTCTTTCCTTTCTTTCTCCTCTGTTGAAAGCTTTGATTCCGCAGATAACCCGGGAGAGCTGGGGGTGTTCCCACTTTGTTCACGTATGGCCTCAGCACTGCCTGGATTGTCCATGAGCTTTACACATTTCTCCTCCGTCTGCGGCTGCATCTCCAGAGGCGGACTCCTGTGAGGAGAGAGGCTTGCTGGCTGAGTAGCCCAAGAGGCTGGAGGTTCCCCTCTGCACAGTGCTATCATTTAAGCTATTAAGGCAGGACTCTCTCTCTCTCTCTGAAGTGGCATTCTAGAAACTTCCCCATGACACTGGCAGCAGGTGTTTCTTCTGGGGCGGTTACATCCAATGGCAGCACCTCACGCCTCTTTTTGAGCACAGGTACTTCAATTTTCTCTTCAGGTTCGTACTTCAGCTTTAATTCATCTGACTTAGCTCTCAGTTTTATATTCTCACCTTCTGAAAGCTGCAGGCGTCTTTCATTTGGTGTCTTTCATTCACAAACAGTTTCCACTCAATATCCAGGGCCACCCCTCTCAGAGAACGCCTTCATTCTCTGAATGGATAGCTCCCCTTTTGTGCTTTCGCTTTCTTTGTTTAACTTCTCAAGCTTTAGTTGAAGTAAATCTGCATAATAGGTGCTGTCTTCTAGAGAACAAGGGCTGGCTGATGTGGATGGCTTAGATTCCATACTTTCATATAAGGTCTTAAATTTCTCCAGGTTTTTTATTTCACCTAAAAGGAGTTTTATTTCACCATTCTTTTGTTCTAACATGGCAACCAACCGTTCCTGCTGCTCCAACTTAGTTTGAGATCCCGCATCCTCAGCAGTGTGGAGATTTGTAACTTCATTCTGCTCTCTGGTGAATGCATTGTGCTTCTTCAGTGACTGATATTTGATTTTTATCGAGTTGAGCTGGCGTTCCATAGCTGCCCTCCGATCCTCCACCTCTGCCAACAGGGAGTTGCCTTTACTATTGGGATCTAAGACTTGCTGAAGCACGTGGCCCCACTGCACTTGGAGATCTTGATTTTCTACGTGAGCTTTCTCTAAGGCGTTATAATACGACACCACTTCCTTCTCTCGCTCTTCTTTTTCTTCTTGAAGCCGGTCTACCCGGTGCATTAAGGAAGCATTGAAACATTCTAGTTGTTCTTGTTTGTACTGCAGCTCGTTTACCTCTTCTTGGAGAGCAGTCTTCACACCTTCCATTTCATTTAGCTCAATCTGAAGAGCCAGCACCTCCGAAGACATGCTATTGAGCATGCGCTGCTCAGTCAGTAGCCGGAGCTCTTCCGATTTGTGGGCGAGAACTTCTTCTGGTGGTCCAGCTTCTGCTTCAGCTGCTTCTCACTTAACCTCGCTCCATCTAATTCCACTTTCGGTTTCTCTAACTTATTTTTCAGGTCATTCACTTCCTGCCTATGGCTTCTGTTTAGCTGCATTTCTCACTGCTCCAGCTGCGTTTTCTGTTGTTGTTTCACAGCTTCACGTTCACAGCTCAAACTTTCTAACATCTGATCCTTGAGCTCAGCTTCTCTTTGAAGGGCATACTTCTGGTTATAACTCTGAGTAACAGTCATCATTTCTTCATGACATTTATCCAATCGATTCAGTTTGCCCCTCTAAGAGTTGTAAGCGAGTTCTTCAATGTTATAGTCATTTCTTTTAACCTTTCGAGTTTGATTGGAAGTTCTGTGTTCTCTCTCTCTCTCTCTCTCTCTCTCTCTCTCTCTCTCTCTCTCTCTCTCTCTCTCTCTCTCTCCATGCTTTCTGTTTTCAGCCTTCTCTCTGCTCACGCTTCCCAGTGCCTCAACCAGAGACTTGTCCAGAAAGCACCAGGCGCCCGGATTCTTGTCGGTATATCCACCGCAACACAAAAAAAGAAACCTGTCCTTCTAGTTTCTTTCTTTTAATCACTGCCTGCTTACCAATTTGTCTGAATTGCGCTGTCAAGTTTCTATGTTGACTGTGAATGAAAAAGAGTGAAAAGAAGCCATGCTTTAGGCCATACAAGTATCACTGGTTTTAACTCATCCATTTTCTCTGCAGGGAGCATTTCCGGCTCGTTTAAAGAAGGTGCTGATTGTAGGAGCACCCATATGGTTCCGAGTGCCGTATTCTATCATCAGCCTGCTCCTGAAGGACAAAGTCCGGGAGAGGGTAAGGCAAGCCAGCCTTTTCTTATTGGAGGTAGATAAGTAGATTCTAGTTTCTGCAGGTGAACTCTTGCCAGTTACTCTTTTGCCTTCAAAGAATCCTCCTGTTTATTCCCCCAGAATGTTTTCTGCTCCTGTATTCGTTCACACACTTCATGTAGTCCTTTGCTTGGGACAGAATACCCCTTCACTGTCCACACATTTGTTGTGGTTATGGTTTATCCAACTCTTTCTTCACAATACCTTGAGTAAACAGTATTGAACCAGTGTGTCCCAGAAGTATTTTATTTTTTATTAATTTTTTAATAATTTATTTAACGTTACTTTATGTGCATTGGTATGAAGGTATCAGATCCCCTGGAACTGGAGCTACAGACAGTTGTAAGCTGCCTTGTGGGTGCTGGGAATTGAATCTCTGGAAGAACAGCCAGTGCTTCCAGCCACTGAGCCATTTCTCTATCTCCCGCAGAAGTATATTAAGGATTATATAATTTCCAAAGTTGATTTAGTACTGCATAAGGCACTATTAATATTTAACAGTATTTAAAGGTTGGGGGTGTAACTCAATGTCAGCATTGCTCAAGGGTCTGGGTATAGTCCCTAATACCCCAAACCAAAACCAAGATCAAAAATTGGCATTTAATATAATTATGTTACTGAACTGGTATTAGAATTTATTTGGGGCTGAGCATGTAGCTTAGTGAAAGAGTACTTAGCTAGCTTATAAAAGTTCCTAGAGTCTGTCTCTACTTTACAGAGAGAGACAGACAGACACACAGAGAGGTTTATTTACTGGAAAGTACTATTAAGTCCGTGACCTTCAGAGTGGTTGGGAGGTCTTAGTTGTTCCTTTTTTTTTTTTTTTTTTTTTGTCTTTTGGTTTATTATTTGAGACAGGGTTTCATTCTATAGTTGAGACCGGCTAATAGCTACTCACTGTGTTCTAGCAGACTTTCATGGCAGTCTTCCAAGTACTGGGATAGGAGGAGTGTACCACCCACTGTGAGCATCTCTGGGTATTGCTTTTTATTTTTCTTTTTAAAATTATTTATTATGTATAGTGTTCTGCCTGTTTTTTTGGTTTTTCGAGACAGGGTTTCTCTGTGGTTTTGGAGCCTGTCCTGGAACTAGCTCTTGTAGACCAGGTTGGTCTTGAACTCACAGAGATCTGCTTGCCTCTGCCTCCCGAGTGCTGGGATTAAAGGCGTTCGCCACCATCGCCCGGCTTGTATTGGTTTTTCTTAAGGCACTTTCTTACTGTTTTCATTTTAAAAATGTTTATATTACTACTACTACTAATTTTTAATTTTCCCCTAGATAGGTTTCTCTGTGTATCCCTGGCTGTCCTGGAACTTACTCTGTAGACCAGGCTGGCCTCCAACTCACAGAGATCTGCCTGCCTCTGCCTCAGAAGAGGGCGTTGGATCCCTTGGTTCTGGAATTAAGCCATGTGGATGCTGGGAATTGAACTGACTCTTAACTACTTAACATCTCTCCAATTCATATGAGCTGGTTCTTTAAGAGGTAGAAGAGGAAAGGGGACAGTTTTTTAAGAAGAGGCTGCGGTGGGGTGCTGGAGTGGTGCCTCAGTGGTTAGAGCATGTACCTAAGTTAGGTTTCCACCACCCAAGTTGATTGACTCCTCACTATAACTGCAATTCCAGGGATCCAGTGTCCTCCTCTAGCCTCTCATCTGTACGTGGTACACACACACACACACACACACACACACACACACAATTTAAAAAAAAATAATCAAGAAGAGACAGTGGGAAGTTGGAGAGATGGCTGAGAGGTTAAGAGTGCTGGCTGCTCTTCCAGAGGACCTGAGCTCAATTTCCAGCAAGTACATGGTGCCTCACAACCATCTATAATGACATCGGTTCCCTCTTCTGGCATGTAGTATACAGGTATACATGTAGTATACATGTAGTCATACAGGTAGGACACTATATATGATAAAGAAACAATTTTTTTTTTTAAAGAAGAGGCAGGGTCTGGAGTGATGACTCAGTGGTTAAGAGCACTGACTGCTCTTCAAGAGGACCCAGGACTCAGTGCCCACATGGCAGCTCACAACTGTATGTCACAACTCCTGTTTCAGGGTACCCAATGCCTTCATACAGACATGCATGTAGGCAAAACAACAGTATACATAAAAGGTATAGTTAATTGAAAAAATGAAAAAAATAAAGATGCCTATGCTTTAAAAAAAAAATGGGAAGAGGCACTGGCAAGGGACAGTCTTTTAAGAATAGCATTTCTCGGGGACTGGAGAGATGGCTCGGAGGTTAAGAGTACTGGCTGCCCTTCCAGAGGACTTGAGTTCAATTCCCAGCTTCCACATGGTGGCTCACAACTATCTGTAATGAGATATATGCAGGCACACATGCAGGCAGAATACTGTATACCTAATAAATAAATAAATCCTTTTTATTTATTTATTTATTTATTTATTTATTTATTTATTATGTATATAATATTCTGTCTGTGTGCATGTCTGCAGCCAGAAGAGGGCACCAGACCTCTTTAAAGATGGTTGTGAGCCACCATGTGGTTGCCGGGAATTGAACTCAGGACCTTGGGAAGAGCAGGCAATGCTCTTAACCACTGAGCCATCTCTCCAGCCCCTAAATAAATAAATCTTAAAAAAAAAAAAAGAATAGCATTTCTGTGCTACAAAGATCTTGGCTTATCATGGCTATATTTTAGTGTGTAGCAGAATCAAATATGACTATTTATCTAGGCTTTTTCCTGGATTGCCATTTCTAGGTAGCTTTGTCTTTCATAGAAATCTTTCTTTGAGGACATCTATACCAAACAGTCAGTAAAATATAAGCTAAGAGACTTAGAATAGGTTGAGTTAGTATGTGGTTGACAAAAGTAATCATTAACTAAAGTCTTAGTTTCTGAAAAAAAAAAAAAAAAAGGACCAGCAAGAGATGGTGCTGAAAAGCCTCGTGTACAGTGTGAAGCCTTTATTCACTATCCCTTCATTCCAGAAGAAAAATAGCTTGACTCTAATTCCAGGAGTGAATTTGAAGGACATTCTGGGGACTTAGCTCTCTGAAAAATTTATGGGATTTTAATCCAAAGCAGATAAAATTAACTCTGCTTCTTTTCAAATACACAGTGTTTCAAGCAAATCTCATCTGATTTTCAAATTCAGCATAAACACATTTGTTTTTTATTCAGTCAATAATGCTTTCTGACCTATAGCCCCAGTACTCAGTGCAGTTCTTTGTGTCCTTACAGATTCAGATATTAAAGACGTCTGAAGTTACCCAGCATCTGCCTAGGGAGTGCCTTCCAGAAAATCTGGGTGGGTTCGTCAAAATTGACCTTGCCACTTGGAATTTCCAGTTCCTGCCCCAAGTGAATGGCCACCCAGATCCCTTCGATGAGATCATCCTGTTTTCCCTACCTCCTGCCTTAGACTGGGACTCAGTACATGTTCCAGGTCCCCATGCCATGACCATCCAAGAGTTGGTAGACTATGTTAATACCAGGCAAAAGCGGGGCATATACGAGGAATATGAAGACATCCGTCGTGAGAACCCTGTTGGCACTTTCCACTGTTCCATGTAAGTAGGAGAGGTTTGGGTCAACATTAGTTACCAAGGAGCTTCTGGCTACTTCAGTGCCTCAGTTCCTTTATAGAGGGTTTTCCGGTGTTAAAATGCTTCATGGGAAGACCAAACGTGGTAGTTCGTGCCTTTAATCCCAGTATTTGGAAGACAGATAAAAGTGAATCTGAGTTGGAACCCAATCTGGTCTACATAGTGAACTCCAGGCCAGCCAGGGCAACGTTTAAAATAAATAAATAAGTAAATTAATTATTTAAAAAAAGCTTCTTGGGGATATGGATACGTGGGTAAGAGCACTTGCTCTGCAACATGAGGATCTTAGTTCGAATCTCCAGCACTCATATACAAAGCAAGGCGTGGCTGCGCTTGTATATACCATTGTTGGGACAGTCATAGGCAGGTCCTGAGCATTCACAGGTGAAGAACAGCAGATGAAGATGAAGACACCTGATGTCCTGCTTTGCCTTCTGCATGCGTATACATAGGCATGTGCACTTCTACGCTCAGGTTCACACAATGCATATGTACTAACGCAAAAGCTTCTCAGTCACTTTATAGTTTTGTCTAGAGTTGTTATCTCCTGCTTTGGCCTTGTTGTTGATGTCTTCTGTTTCAAAACTTCTGGTGGTCTTTGTTACCAATGGAGAAACCTTGTAATGATGGATACATCTTTATATGTGTGTGTGTGTGTATATACATATATATACACACATATATATACACACATCTTTATATGTGTGTGTATATACATATATATATGTACATATATATATATATTTAACCTCTTAGGACTTTGCTTCTACCCAAATTCTACCATAAATCATCTTGTGAGTTTATCACTCTGATTCATAATGATTTGGTGACTACAGTTGCAGCACAGGGCATTTCCTACCTTTTGTTTTGGGGCGTGTTTGTATATGTTTATATGTGTACCTATGTATCTGTGGAGGCCAAAAATTGATACTGGGTTCTCTTCTCAGTTGTTCTCTACCTTATTTATTTATTTTAAATAATCAGACTTTTTGTTGTTGTTATTTTGTTTTGAGACAAGATCCTAGTATGTAGCCTTGACTGGCCTAGAACTCAAGAAAACAGGGAGTCATTGATTCCGTTACCTCTGCCTCTCTAATGCTAGGATTAAAGGTGTGCGCCAACACACCTATATAGTTTTACCATGTTTTAATGTTTTTCAGTTATTTTATTTTATGTATACGAGTGTTTTGCCTATTTGTGTGTCTAAACACCTCATGCATGAAGTGCTCACAGAGGGAAGTAGAGGGTATCAAATCCCCTGGAACTGAAGTTACAGGAGAATGTGAGCCCCCTTGTGTGTGCTATTTGAACCTGGGTTCTCTGGAAAAGCAACTAGTGCTCTTAATGGCTGAACTATCTCTCTTGCCTTCTTGCAATGCTTTAATTGGCTGTTTTTCTCCCACTAGTGAGCTCTGTTTATTGAATACTAATCATGTTGTCTCATTGAGCTCTTAGTTTAAATTCCAAGTTAGCTAGAAGTCCCTTCTGCAAATGACAGTTATTTTCCTTCTCTCTATACCTTAGTTTTTCTGTGCCTAATATGTGACTGTTGCATGTTTACCTTCCCTTAAATGTTTTAGGAATCCATGAGTCCCCTCAAAATTCTTGTTCAGTTTAGTCATGGTCTGTGAAGAAAATGCCAAAGAAAGAGGGAAAATCACAAGTTAATAAACTGAGGAGAGGCCATTGAAAAAGAAGCCAGTAAGCAGAGCAAGAATATTGTGCCAAAAAAAAAAAAAAAAGAACTCGTGAAAGACTAGTGGGATGGCTCAGCAGGTAAAGGTGCTTACTGCCAAGCCTGATGACCTGAGTTTGATTCCTGGGACCCACACAGTAGAAGGAGAAAGCGACCCCACAAGTTGCCCTCTGACTTCCACACATGCACCCAATGTACTGTGACATGTGTATGTCCTCTCTCATTCTACAATAATATCAATAATAGATAAAATAAATGGAAAATAATGAGAAAGAGAAACCGGGGCTATAGTTTCATGGTTGAGCTGTGTCTGGAATTGGTACGGCCTTGGGTTTGATTCCTAGCACCCTGTAAAGAGGCCGAGAGTGAAGAAAGGCAAAGCAGGGTGTGTATCAAGAGGGGAAATACTATTTTATCTGTCAACTTCTTTTCCTTTCTATGTGCTCAAGATCTCTTTTTACACTGAATCTCCTTCCAAAGCAGAACAGTTTTTTTTTTTGTTTGTTTTTCCCTAGCCATCCTTGAACATACATATTCCAGGCTAGCCTAAAATGGTGATTCTCCTGTCTTAATCTCCCAAGTGCTGAACCCCTCTTAAAAACCACCACACATGCTTTCCCCAAAGTTGCTACCCTCCACCCTATTGATTCTCTTCCTACTCCATGGGATCTCATCTAACCCAGGCTGCTCTAAGACTTGACTCTGTAGCTAAGGATAGCCCTGACCTTTTGATATTCCGGCCTCTTCTTCCTGTATGCTGGATACAGGTGTGCACTACTGCCTTCAGTTTCCTCAGTGGGAATCAGGGAAACAGTCTGGGAGCAGGGAAGTGTAATACACTTTTTGGGGATTTAAGATTTTGATGTAGGTGCCCCTGTAGTTATTTATTGCCTCAAGTAATTGCCTTGAAAGGGTGGGTTTTGGTTGTGTGCTTGTACCATTCAGACTAGCTTCTATTTTAGAATCTGGAACTAGCTCTTGTAGACCAGGCTAGCCTCAAACTCACAAAGATCCACCTGTCTCTGCCTCCCGAGTGCTGGGATTAAAGGCGTGCGCCACTATCACCCAGCAAATCTTGCCTTTTTTATTGAACTGTGGAGCCCTTGCTTGATTATCTAGAGCCCATAAGCCTTACTAGCTCCTGACTTTCCGTTCTTCAACCAGTTTCTATTAAAATTACCTACTACCTACAGATAGCAGATAACAAACTGTATCTTTATTGGAATTCTGGATTGTAAAGTAATATCAGAGTGTTCACAATTGCTCAAATTTCCCATAGAATTTTTAAATTAAAAACACTTAATTTTTAAAAATTTTACTTAAAATTTAATTCTCCCAAATTTTAATTAATTAACTAACTAATTAACAAATATTTGGTTTTGCGAGGCAGGGTTTCTCTGTGTAACAGTTCTGACTGTCCTGGGACTCTCTTTGTAGACCAGGCTGGCCTCAAACTCACTGATAGCTGCCTGTTTCTGCCTCCTGAGTACTAGGATTAAAAGAGTGTGCCAACATTGCCCAGCTTATTTTATTTTTTTTAAAGACTGTGTGATTGTTTGACCGAGAATATTCTTTATAAGGCTTGTATTTGAAGACATAGTGTGCAGTTTGTGAAACTGTTTGGGAAGGATTAGGAGGTGTGGCCTTGCTTGAGGATATGTGATAATGCTCCTATACACTGTAAAGATTTGTCACTTGTATTAGTTCAATAAAACACTGATTCACCAGTAGCCAGGCAGGCAGTATAGGTGGGGCAACCAGACTAGGAGAATTCTGGGAAGAGGAAAGGCAGAGATGCAGTCATCAATCAGATGCGGAGGAAACAAGATGAGAATGCTGGACTGAGAAAAGGTACCAAGCCACGTGGCTAAACATAGACAAGAATTATGGGTTAATTTAAGTTGTAGGAAGTAGTTAATAATAAACCTGAGCGAATAGGCCAAACAATTTATAATTAATATAAGCCTCTGTGTGTTTCTTTGGGACTGAATGGCTGTGGAACCAGGCAGGACAGAAAATTCTGTCTACATTCATAGGCTTGTGTTTGAAGATATAGTGAGCAGTTTGTAGATAGTAGAGTTAGAATCACAGGTGGTTCTGAGTGTTCTTAACTGCCAAACTGTCTTTCTAGCCTCAAAGGGGAGTTTTTAAGATGTAGAAAAGAGCCGGACAGTGGTGGTGCACAGCTTTAATCCCAGCACTTGTGAGGCAGAGGCAGGCGGATCTCTGAGTTGGAGGCCAGCCTGGTCTACAAGAGCTAATTCCAGGACAGTCTCTAAAGCTACAGAGAAACTTTGTCTTGAAAAACAAACAACAACAATAACAAAAAAGATGTAGTAAAGAGCCAGGGATAGTGACTTGAAATGTAATCCCATTACTTGGGAGTCTGCAGGAGAGTTGAGGCCAGCCTGGCTATAGTGTGAGAACCTATCTCAAAACAAAGCAAAACAAAAAACAATAAGGAGATGGTTCTTTGGATAAATCCTCTTGCTCCTAAGCCTAAGGACCTGAATTTGATCCTTGGAACTCACTTTGTGGAAGGAGAGAACTAACTTCTGCAATTCCTGTCTCTTTGACTTCTACATGTACCCCAACACACCAAGTAAATACAAATTTAAATTAAAAAGGTGAAGGAAAAATATATGTAAAAAAGTAAAAAGTATAAATCCCCAGTTCCTATGACCAGAGGTGATACTTGTTACTGTTCAGTCATATCTGTCTTTTAATTTTTTTTACATGAATGAATTCATTATGAAGCTGAATCACTCCCAGTCCTTACCCTTAGTTCCTTCTTTTTACAAGCAGTTACACCTTGTATAAATATGGTGTCTTTCTAGCCATTTTGATTATACTATTATGTATTCATATGTGCCCAACAGTATAGAATACTTTTGATTCAGGGTATTGTGTAACCCTGACTGATCTTGAACTCTGTATGACCTAAGTTTGACATTGAACTTGCGATCCTCCTCACTCTACCTCCTGAGTGTTGGCCTTATGGGCATGTCCTTCCACACCCAGCTCAGGCAGTGACTGAAGATCAAGCCAGTGTTTTGTGCATGGGAAGCAAGCGCTATTCCAGTTGAGCAACATCCCCAGTGCTCCAACAGTATAGGATATTATTATTCATTATATGTGGGAGGTCTTGGCAAGTTTTTAATCAGTAATATATCTAAATCATTTTTTTCAGAGCCAAATAGTACAAAGCAAAAAGCAGTAAGGGTTGAGGATATGCAAGCACCCTTTTACTGAGCTACAGTTTATTTTTAGAGGAGTCTTGTGTAGTTCTGTCTTGAAGTTCTCTTTGTAGCTAAGAATGACCTTGAACACCTGATCCCCCACTTGTCTCCTTATTTTAACTTGCCTCTTATTTTCTTCAGGTCTCCCGGAAACCTAGAGAAAAACCGATACGGAGATGTACCCTGCCTGGACCAAACAAGAGTGAAGCTGACAAAACGAAGTGGCCACACTCAGGTAGATAGATTGATGCCATTTTTCTCTCGGCATCCTAGGATATTAAAACTCTTCTAAGGTGAAACTTGTACTGTGCTCCAGGTGGCTGAAATGGACTCCAAAGCCAGAGAGATGAGTTTTGGTTCCGGTTTTGCTATGTAGTAGTGTGTGACTGAAGACGTTCTGTAAATGCTCATCTCACCCTCCTGAAGAGCAACCACATGGTGGCTCACAGCCATCTGTAATGAGATCTGGCGCCCTCCTCTGATGTGCAGGCATACGTGGAGGCAGATTGTTGTATACGTAATAAATAAATCTTAAAAAAAAAGAGACTTTAAGATTCCAATGAAGCCATAAAATTAAAAAAAAAAGTTTGTAGCCAACTTAGGCTACATAGCAAGACCCTATAAAGTAAAATATAGAGTAAAGTCAGCCAGAGCCTAGGCTGGTTAGATAGCTCAGCAGGGCAAAGCATTCGTTGCTAAGCCTGGCAACCTCACTTCAATGCCCAGAACCACATGGTAGAAGGAGAAAAATGACTGCTTTTGAGTTGTCATTTAACCTTCATATATGTGCTGTGGCCCACAAGTTCGTGCATGTATCTGCACACACACACACAATAAATGTAGGGGGAAAACATAAGCAAACAACTCCTGATTATAGTTTTTCTTTCAAAGTAAAGGAAATTCAGAGCATCTATGTAACATGACTTACTTGCGGGGGGGGGGGGGGGCTTTTCGAGACAGGGTTTTTCTGTGTAACAGCCCTGACTGTCATGGAACTCATTGTGTAGTCCTAGCTGGTCTCCAACTCACAGAGATCCACCTGCTTCTGTTCTCCTGAGTGCTGGGATTAAAGGCGTACACCACCACCTCCTGGGTTAACATCATTTACCTTATAAAGGCTTGGTGTTTTAGCCCTTATTTTGCTTGTGAATAATTTTGAGAAAAACCATGGTCATGCTTTCAGACCTTTTTGACCCTTCTCTTTTAGGCATTTATAGTCCTGCTTATGATTCTTGCATATTTTTTTTTATCCTTCTTCACTGAGAGTTAGTGAAGCTGCTTGCTCACTTTCGAAATTGTTCTAGTACATTCTCTTCAGAAGTGAAGTACACTGACTGAGTTGGGTCTCTTGAGTCCAAAATACTTTTTTTTTTTTCAAGGCAAGATTTCTCTGTAGCTTTGTTGCCTGTCTTGGAACTCACTCTGTAGATCAGGCTGGCCTCGAACTCACAGAGGTCTGCCTGCCTCTGCCTCCTGAGTGCTGGAATTAAAGGGGTGTGCCAACGCTTTTAATCTGTTTTGTATACACTGCTCTGTCACAAGTGTATAGAACAGTGCTTGGCAGGTTTTAAGAAATATTTGTGAGTAAATCCCAGTGTTACAGGAGATTATTCTAGCTATCTTATAATAAATCTGAGGATTAGTGCCTGGTATATAGGTGCAGGTATTGGGAATATATTTATGAGTGGTTATATTACACAGATTAAATCCCAGTGTAACAGGTGATTCTAATCATCCTGGAGTTAATCTGAAGATCATCATCTGACTTGTAATTACGTTGCTACAAACAATGCCAGCAGCCTGGCGGTGGTGGTGCATGCCTTTAATCCCAGCACTTGGGAGGCAGAGGCAGGCGGATCTCTGTGAGTTCGAGGCCAGCCTGGTCTACAAGAGCTAGTTCCAGGACAGGAACCAAAAAGCTACGGAGAAACCCTGTCTTGAAAAATCTGCCCCCCCCCCATTGTCCCTCCACCTTTTTTTTTTTTTTTTTTTGAAGTTAGGGGTATATTATTAATTTGTTCTTCTGTTGCTATGATAAACACTAGCTTAAAAGAACTTGAGGAGGAAAGAATTTATTTGACTTATAATCCATCATCAGGGGAAGCCAAGGCAGGAACCTGGGTGCAGGAACTGAAGCAGAGACCATGGGGGTGCTCCGTACTAGTTTGTTCTCTATGGCTTGTTCAGCTTGATTTTTTTCTGAGAGCTTAATCATTTTAACATCTTTCTTTGGGTCTTTATTCTGTTTTGAGGTATTTTGTTTTTGTCTATAAGTTTTCATTTTTAAAGAGAGGATCTCACTATGTAGCTCTGTTGGCTTAGAACTTAATTCTAGACAAGGGTGGCCTTTGAATTTAAAGTCATCCTCCAGCCTCTGCTTCTAGAGTGCTGGGATTACAGGCATGACATTATGTAGGACTTCACTTTTGTGTATAATTTGATGTAAGGAACGCTATAATATCTGTCTGTCTGTCTGTCTATCTATCTATCTATCTATCTATCTATCTATCTATCTATCTATCTATCTATAAGATATTTGCTGGAGTGGAGCCAGAAGAAGAAGAAGAACTGTTCCACTCAGCTCTACCCCTGACTCTTCTTTACTCCCTTTCCTTACCAATAAAAGTAAAACTCACATTTTTCCCCCAGTACTAAATTGGCCATCTTGTTTTTCATTTTTTGCTTGACAGGAAGAGACTAGCCACACCTTGAACTGCACTTGCCCAACACATACATTATTTTGTGAGCCAAGTGGTGTTTTCATGCACTTGCAATAATGTCTCCCTTTTATTATTAGACAGATTACATCAATGCCAGTTTCATGGATGGCTACAAGCAGAAGAATGCTTATATTGGTACACAAGGTAAGCTATTTTAGCCTTACATGTTGATTTCGTATCACTTACACATGGTTTTTCAATTCAGGTGATTTTTTATTTTAATTAATTGTACATGTGTGTTTGGTATGCCTGTCAGTCTGTGTATACCAGGAGATCAGAAGAGGGTGTCAGATCTCCTGGACCTGGATCTGGAGGTGCAAAGTTCCAAAATCAGGATTGAGCAGCAATCATTCTTATCTATTGAGCCCTCTTTCCAGCCTCCAGATTTTTTTTTCTTTTCTTTTCTTTTTGGTGTTTCACTGTACAGTCCTAGTTGTCTTGGAATTTCTTGAATTTGCTCTGTAGATGAGACTGGCTTTGAACTCAGAGATCTACCTGCCTCTGTCTGCCTTGCCAGTACTGGGATTAAAGGTGTGTACCACCACACCCAATTCAGATGGCATAATTTTTAAAGGAAGTGGGTATTGTGACCACTAAAATCCTGGTCTTTCATTAAGTTTAGTAGTGAAGAGAACAGATAAGTTTCTAGTTTCAGTTCCAGACATGCATGGAAACTTATGACAAAGAGAAAATCTAGAGATTTAAATCTATAATGTTATTGCTTGCCAGCCCGTTTTTGGGACTGTGTTTTAGTATAGTGTAGGGCATCAGAGCTTTGAGTAGTGGCCCATAGCCGTCATGTACACACACAATAAAGATCTGATTCAGGCCGGGAATGTAACTTAGTGATATAGCACATGTCTAGGTTTGAATGTGATCTCTACCATCTCAAGAAAGTAGTAATAATAATCAAAAGAAATCTGAATCTAGTGTTTTTTTTTTGTTTGTTTGTTTTTGTTTTTTCGAGACAGGGTTTTTCTGTGGTTTTGGAGCCTGTCCTGGAACTAGCTCTTGTAGACCAGGCTGGTCTCGAACTCACAGAGATCCACCTGCCTCTGCCTCCCGAGTGCTGGGATTAAAGGCGTGCGCCACCACCGCCTGGCCCTGAATCTAGTTTTAAGTAACAAATCAGTCATTCAGATTGTTTAGCATAGTACAAGAAAACGTGCTGAGTCTAGGTCACTACTCAGGGGATTCTAAGTTCAAAGCCTGTCTGTTTTACATAGTTAATTGTAGTCAAGCCTCTGTTACACAGCAAGACTCTATGTTGAAAAAAAAAGTAAGTGGATCCAATTCTTTAAAGTTAATGTGAAAAACAAGAACAGGAAGAGAACTGTTGTAGATTACTAAAGGAAGAACTAAAGGTAATGTGGAGCTTATAATGTGTCCTCTATAGGGAGAAAGTGGCATTAAGGACAAATTACTGGGACAAGTGTAGACTTGCTATCAGTTAAGGTTATATCTGTATTCCATTGGGTGGTACTATAATGCTGTATAATGATATATAAAGGGAATGAACAAATGCATATATATGCACAATAATCGCACGCGCGCGCGCGCACACACGCTAGTTGGACAAGGTCTCATCTATCTTAGGCTCTTTTCATACTTGCTGTGTAGTTAATGATTACTTTGAATGCCTGATCCTTCTGCCTCTTCCTTTTAATTTCTGGGATTACATGCATGAACTCTAGTGGAATGGTTCTTATATACCCATATATGTATACTAGTAATATTTCTAATAAGTCATCTGTTAAGAATATGTATTATATTTCAGGTGCATAATCTCTGATTATTAAAGTAAGTCTGTGAAGGTTTTTCTTTTTAATTTTAGTGTGTATGTGTGTTTATTTAAGCAAACTGAGGCCCAGTTGGTTAGTTGACTTTGAACATAAAGCTAGTAGCAGAACCAGAATTTGAATCTCTGGGGGGGCTGGAGAGATGGCTCAGTGGTTAAGAGCATTGCCTGCTCTTCCAAAGGTCCTGAGTTCAATTCCCGGCAACGTGGTGGCTCACAACCATCTGGAATGAGGTCTGGTGCCCTCACAGGCTAGTCCTGGATTTTTGATTCTCCTCTTCCTGCTGGGGGGGCTGGAGAGATGGCTCAGTGGTTAAGAGCATTGCCTGCTCTTCCAAAGGTCCTGAGTTCAATTCCCGGCAACCACATGGTGGCTCACAACCATCTGTAATGAGATCTGGTGCCCTCTTCTGGCCTGCAGACATACATACAGACAGAATATTGTATACATAATAAATAAATAAATATTTTTTTAAAAAAAGAATTTGAATCTCTGTCCAGGTCAGAAGTTCTTAGAAACCATGAATTGGTTCTTCTGTGTCAAAGTAAACCACTAACTTTATATCTATAGACATCCCCTTGTATGTGTGTGGTATATGGACACGTGAGTATGCTTATTTATGTGTGGGGACAGATCTAGAGGAGGATGTCAGGTGACCTGTTCTGTCTTCCTTCACCTTGTTCCTTTGAGATGGGTCTCTCACTGAACTTGGAGCTAGGCTAGTGGTCAACAAGCTATAGAGAACCTTTCTTTCCTTCCAAGAGCTGGAGTTATAAGCATGTACATCCATGCCTGTCTTTTTAATGTGAGTTCCTGGATTGATTTGAGGGCTTTATGCTTGTGTGGCAAGAACTTTTACCTGAGCCCATTTCTTTGTCTTTTTCAGAGGGTTTAGCTGCAAAGCCCTTGTTGGTTTGGAGTTTGCTGAGTGTGGTGTCACACATCTGTGGCTCCAGCAGACCATGGGCTGTAGAGAGCCTGGGTGCTAGGGATCAGCTCAGGTACTCACACAGCAGGCACATTGCCAGTTAGGCAGTCCCCAGCTCCTTGGGGCTTTTGTTGTTCTTTGTTTGTTTTGAGATAGTGCTCAGGCTGGCCTGTAACTCACCATGATCCTCCTGCCCCAGTCTCCCAAATCCTAATTATAATCTCCTCCTGGAGATTATAGGCATGATAACCAGCCTCATTAACATCTTATTTTCATTTTCTGGTTTGAAAAGAGGTCTTATGTAACCTAGGCTTGACTCCCTATATAGTTTAGGATCAATTTGAATTCCTAATGTTGCCTCCTCCTCCTTCTAAGAACTGGGATTTTAGGAGTGTTCAGTTTGTACTGACATCTTATGATCTTAGAATTTCTTCTTTGCAGGGCTGAAGAGATGGCTCAGAAGTTAAGAACACTGGTGGCTCTTCTAGAGGTCCTGAGTTCAATTCCCAGTATCCACAGGGTGGTTCACAACCATCTAAAATAGGACCTAATGCCCTCTTCTGGTGTGCATGTGTACATGCAGGCAGAGCCCTCATACATCAAAAATAAATAAATTTTAAAAAACCATAAAACAAAAAACCTAGTACTTAAAAAAAAGAATTTCTAGCCAGGCGGTTTAATCACCACCTTTAATCACCAGCACTCAGGAGGCAGAGGCAGGCCAGCATGGTCTACAAGAGCTGGTTCCAGGATAGGCTCCAGAGCTACAGAAAAACCCTGTCTCGAAAAAAAACAAAAAACAACAAAACAAAGAATTTCTTCTTTGCAAAAGCAAACACTGACAAAAATATTTAAGATCTTAGGATGATTCTAAATATCTAAGAACAGACTATCCATTAAAGCACAGCATACTAGCCAGGCAGTGGTGGCGCACACCTTTAATCCCAGCACTCAGGAGGCAGAGGCAGGCAGATCTCTGAGTTCGAGGCCAGCCTGGTCTACAAGAGATAGTTCCAGGACAGGCTCCAAAGCTACAGAGAAACCCTGTCTCGAAAAACATAAATAAACAAACAAATAAATAAATGAAAATAAAAAAATAAAGTACAGCATACTCACAGTCCATACACCCAGCAAATGCAATTATAAGAGCTGTATTTTGAAACAATTTTAGGCCAGGCGATGGTGGCGCACTCCTTAATTCTAACACATAGGAGGCAGAGGCAGGTAGATTTCTTGTGTTCGAGGCCAACTTGGTCTACAAAGTGAGTTTTGGTTTAGCCAGAGCTGTTATACAGAGAAACCCTATCTTGGGGGGAAAATTATTTTAAATTTTATTTTATGTTTATTGTTGTGTGCTTATAGGTATGTCTGTATGACATTTGCATGTCTGGTGCCAGTGGAAGCCAGATGAGCTGTTGGAGCCTTTGAAACTGTAGTTACAGATGGTTGTGAGCCACCATGGTGGTACTGGGAGTCAAACCCAGGTCCTATGGAAGAGCAGCCAGCACTCATAACTATTGAGCTAGCTCTCCACTCTCAACAGGTGTGGTTTTTGTCACATAAAATAAGATTTACTATGCACGGGGGGAGGGTATGTTGTTAACTATTTTATTTGCCTGTATCTTTAAGCCTACATAGAAAAGGTCTTAGAGATGCTGCAAAATGTTAGTGTTCTCACTGGATCTAGGAGTTAATGAATGATTTTTATCTTCACTTTCTAAATATATCACAACAGATATGCATTACTATAATATGAACATCAAGAAGGCAATAAAACACGTTTCCGCATCTCCCAGCCCCAGCCTTTTCTAAATGCTCCTACTTGTGCTTCTCACACATTTGATCTCCCAGCTCTTCCCCACTGCTGGTGGTCAAGCCTAGGCCTTCACATGGACCAGCAGGTGTTCTCCCGCTGACCCACATGCACTCCCATGCACTTGGTTTTCCACATTCAGACCGTGAGCAGTGGCTAAGTAAGGGTGATGCCAGCTGGAGACAGGCGTAGGATTATACGTTCAGGAACAGCCTGTGCTGCACAATGAGACAAAAGACCCTAGAACCAAAACTATTGTTGGAACTGGGACATCTGAGCAGTCAGAATATCTGATAAACCAGATATAAAATCCAAGGTAGGTAGATAGAGGGACTAAACTTTCTTAAAGGCTCAAGAAAAAGATTTAGAAGAAAAAGGTAAGTTACCCAAATTAGGATCTCCCACATACTTGGTTTTCCAGACAGGGTTCACTGTAGTTTTAGAGCCTGGCCTGCAACTAGCTCTTGTAGACCAGGTTGGCCTTGAACTCACAGAGATCCACTGCCTCTGTCTCCCGAGTGCTGGGATTAAAGGCGCCCGGCTTTCCTTCATACTTTTGAATCTGGTAATTGAACCCAGAGCTTTGAGCATACTAAGCATAAGCTCTACCACTAAGCTACACTACTGCCTTCTCTCTATCCTGAGATGAGATCATTTGAAATTCCTTTCCTTCTTATTTTTATTGTGTGTGTGTGATGTATGTATTTTGCCTGCATTTGTGCCTGTGTACTACATATATGCATTGACTACAGAAGTCAGAAGAGGGCATCAGATCCTCTGAAATTGGAGTGGTTGTGAGCCAATGTGGGTACCAGGAACTGATCCTGGATCCTCTGAAAGAAGAGTTAGTGCTCTTAACCACTGAGCCATCTCTCCAGTGAAATAAAGCATTTTGTCCATTTCCCTCCCTCCCTCCCTCCCTCTTCTACCCTCCCCCCTTTTCTCTCCCAACTACCTACCCAGCAATCATCCATCCATCCAGCTATCTATCTATCTGAGTCTGGCTTTGTAGGCTAGGCTGGTGCTCCTCCCACCTCTTTTCTCTGTTTTTGTTTTTGTTTTACATGTATGAGTGTTTTGCCTGCATGCTTGTATGTGCATGCATGCTGTGACCATGGATGCCAGAAGGCAGTTGTCAGATCCCTGAAACTAGAGGGATGGATGGTGGTGAGTCACCAAGTGGTTCTGTTGCCAGGCACTTGTTATCCCAGCACTAGGTGGCAGAGATAGGAGGATTTCTGGGGCTCAGGGGCTATCCAACCTACCCTAATTTTTTAAATTTTGTATATGTATGTTTGTATGTGGATGTGTGCATGTGAATGCAGGTTCCTGTGGATGCCAGAAAAGGGCATTGGATCCCTTGGAGGTGGAGTTACACACTGAGATACCTGATGTATGTTCTGGGAACTGAATTTAGGACTTCTGCAAGAACAGCATGAGTTTTCAACTGCTGAGCCATCTCTCCAGCCCTATGTCTCTAATACTCATACTGAGGTGTTATGGTTGGCGTGAGAACCTCTCTGAAAAAATCAAAGATAAAAGTAGGAAGTCTGTGGTGGCTCATATGAATACTTGTAATTGCAGCACTTGGGAGGGGAGGCCAGAGGAACAGGAGTTCTGGGTCATGCTGGAGTACAGCGTGTGTCTGAGTCTAGGAGAGACCCTCTCTCAGAAAAACAGCAACAATGGAAAGAAAAGCAGGGAGCTTACATCTGTGCTTTGGAGTTACTATTTGGAAGAAAGACAGACGCGTCTCTTAAGAGTCTGTTCTTCGTCTTCTTTCATTCCAGGCCCTTTGGAGAATACCTATCGTGACTTCTGGCTCATGGTTTGGGAGCAAAAAGTTTTGGTGATTGTAATGACCACCCGGTAAGTTAGTCTTTTTTCCATACCCTCCCTGCCTTTACCCTGACCCTGAGTGACTAGGGAAGCCATGGCATATTACTTGTTGACATGCTGAGGTCTGGTGGAGAAAGAGATAGCCTTGTAGATATTTAATCCCTAATTCTAGGGACCCAGTGCTCGCTACAGCCGCCCTGGGGTCCTGGCCTTATTCACTGGAGGAAGCGCTGTGAAGCAGAAGGCTGACTCAAGAGGGAAGATGCTTCTGTCTGCTGGATCCCCAGTCCCTTTGCTTTTCATTTCCTGCTTTCTTCAATTGCTTCCTCTTCCTTCATTTCTCTTCATTCAAGAGGGAACAGGAGGGAGGGGAACATGAGGCAGGAAGTTCTGAATCAAGAGTTCTTGAAATTTGGCGATTCTGCCAGATTTAAAGAATTTAATATTTTATTAGTTTCATCATTAGTTATAATCTATTTTAGATGGGGAAGAACAAAAAGATGATGGCTGGGCAGTATGCCTTTAATTCCAGCACTTGTGAGGCCTAGGGTGGCAAGTCGCTGTATTTAAGGCCAGCCTGGTCTACAAAGAGAGTTCCAGGATGGCCAGAGCTACACAGAGAGACCCATTCTCAAATAGAGAAAGAAAGAAAGAAAGGAAGGAAAAGATGTTTGCTCAGTTCCCTTCCTCAGGGCCCTGTTAATAGCCACCTGTAGTTAAGAGAAATATCACCTCAGAGTATTCTGAGGCCACTGAGAAATCACGGTGAGGTGAAGTCTGTGGACCTCCTAGTCACTTCCAGGACTTGTCTTCCCCAGTGCTGTGTCAGTTCCTTAGTGGAGAAGAAACTGAGCAGTGGCTTAGGTCTGGTCCTCACTCTGTTTTTGCTTCTTTATCCCAGGTAAGTGAGATGATAGAGTTAATGCACCATGCATGTCTGCCAACCGGACATGTGTAGGGACTTTAGCTGTTTATCATCTGTTTAGAATGGAGAGATTTCATTCTTTTTCTGCTGAGCATCAGTGACAGACTTCAGGAGCTTTGCAGATCACATGACATTGCTGCCTAGGAGCTCAGCAGTTTGTGGTAGGAAGAAGCTTTTTGCTAGTTGAAGAGTGAAACTTAACTTGCTCTGTTTGTCTTCAGCTTCGAGGAAGGCGGAAGGAGAAAATGTGGACAGTACTGGCCTTTAGAAAAAGACTCTCGGATCCGATTTGGATTCCTCACGGTGACTAATCTAGGAGTGGAGAACATGAACCATTATAAGAAAACAACTCTAGAAATTCACAACACAGAGGTAAATGAAGCTTTCTCTTTTCTCACTTTCGTAAAACTAGGGAAGCTCCTTTAAAGAGGTTCTTGTTGAGGGTGATGATGCATACTTTTAATCAACACTTGGCAAGAAAAGGCAGGTGGATAGCTGTGAGTTCAAAGTCAGCCTGGCCTATACGGTGAGTTCCGGGCCATCCAGGGCTACATATTGAGTTCCGGTCTCAACAAAACAAAAACAAAAAAAGAAAATTTCTCAAGAGAATAGACAGGATTTTAAGGAGGTTATAAACTTTTTTTTTTTTTTTTCTGTAAACAAGTTAAAGATATTCAGCTGAGCAGCCAGTTATGTGGTGTATGCTTTTAACCCCACACTCCAGAGACAGGGGCAGCTGGATCTCTTATGAGTTTAAGGCCAGCCTGGTCTACATAGTAAGTTCCAAGCCAGTACTTGGAACACAAACCCACCCACCTTCCAAACTAATGTAGCCATCATCTCAATACAAGAGTGGCATTAAAGAGAAATTAAACTTTCAACGTTAGGAATCTGGGTCTTAAGCCATGCTTATTATCCTACTCTGCAGGAGGCTGAGGCAGGATTATAAATTGAAAATAGCCTGGACTACACAATATGGATCTTGTCTTAGAAAACTACAATAAGGAACTAGAGTGATGCTGCCTTAGCTGTTAGAGTCCTTGCTACTCAAGCGTGAGAATGAGAGTTCAGATCATGGTACCCATGCATCAGTTGGGAGTCCCATGCATACCTGTAAACAGTTCTGATGGATGTGGGGACAAGAGGATTCCTGGGCTTTCTGGCTTATAGCCTAGCTGAGAATAGATGTGCTCCAGGTTGAGAAAGAACTCTGCCTCAAAGGAACAGGCAGAAAGTGTGAGAGGAGGACACCTGATGTTCTTCTTGGGCTTGCATGTGTACATATGCACACATGTACATACACTCAAACATAAATGTATACTCATGAAGGAATGGAGTAAGTCAGTAAGTGGATAAATATGTTGGTTTTATTTTGAGACAATGTCTCTTACTATGTAACCTTAGCTGGCCTAGAGCTCACTATATAGATAGACCAGTCTGGGCTCAAATTCACAGAAATCCTTCTGCTTGCCTCTGTCTCCCACATTCTGGGATTTAGAGGTGTGTCCTACCGTGCCTGACAATTTTTTTTAAGCAAGATTTTTTTTTTAAAGATTTATTTATTTATTATGTGTACAGTATTCTCAGTGCTCTGCTTACAGGCCAGAAGAGGGCACCAGATCTCAATACAGATGGCTGGGAGCCACCATGTGGTTGCTGGGAGTTGAACTCAGGACCTTTGGAAGAGCAGGAGGTGCTCTTAATCACTGAGCCATCTCTCCAGCCCCCAAGATTTTTTTTTTTGATACTATAATTTAATTACATTTCTCCCTTTCTTTTCTTCCCTCCAAACCTTCCCTGTTCTCCTTCAAATGCATAGCTTTTTTTCTTACTGTTACTGCATGAATATACGTATTTGTGTGTGCATACATACATATATATATTGTATGTGTAAATATATATGTGTGTGTATATATATATTCTTAAATATAACCTGTTGAGTCCATATAACTACTGTATTATTTTTGCAGAACTGACTGTTTGGCACTGAACAACTAGTTGGTGTGCTGTTCCTAGGGAATACCACTTCTCTGGCTGGAAGACTTTTTTTTTTTTTTTTTTTTTTTTGGTTTTTTCGAGACAGGGTTTTTCTATGGTTTTGGAGCCTGTCCTGGAACTAGCTCTTTTGTAGACCAGGCTGGTCTCAAACTCACAGAGATCCGCCTGCCTCTGCCTCCTTAGTGCTGGGATTAAAGGTGTGTGCCACCACTGTCTGGCCTAAAATACTTCTATTTTTTTTAAGGTTTATTTTATTTATTATGTATACAGTGTTCTGCCTGAATGTATGTCTGCAATGCAGTCCAAAAGAGGGTACCAGAATGTAGTATAGATGGTTGTGAGCCACCATGTGGTTGCTGGGAATTGAACTCAGCACCTCTGGTAGAGCAGTCAGTGCTCTAAACCTCTGAGCCATTTCTCCAGCCCTCTTTTTTTTTTAAACTACAAAAATAAACAAGAAAAATAAACACTGTCCTTCGGGTTTGGGGTAGAGAAGCAGCTGTGATGAAAGGTGAGACCAGAAGACAGGAGCCTTGTTGATACGAATGCTAAGGTGTTAAGAACCTGGAAAAGCCCAGGATAGTCAGAGTAAATAGGGATGATAGCATTAACTTTTGCTTCTTCTTCTTTTCTTTTCTTTTTTTTAATTTAAGGAGCGGCAGAAACGCCAGGTGACCCACTTCCAGTTCCTGAGCTGGCCAGATTATGGTGTCCCTTCCTCAGCAGCTTCCCTCATTGACTTTCTGAGAGTGGTCAGAAACCAGCAGAGCCTGGCTGTTGGCAGCCTGGGAGCACGGTCCAAAGGGCAGTACCCCGAGCCACCCATTGTGGTACATTGCAGTGCAGGCATTGGCAGGACAGGTACTGTACCTCTTACACTGCTGGCAGTGGGGGTAAAGAGGAGGAACTAGAAGCCTGGGGCATGTCTGTGATTGGAGAAAGAACTCATTCATTCCCTTAGTGGCAAACTGCGTTGATAATCACTCTTCAATGTTCTTTTGTATTTTTTATGCTGGGGATACTGTTTGCCAAAATATATAATTTATGAACCACGTTCTTAGAGTTGTTTTATACATTCTATCATCAGTGATCTTCTGACCTTGTCAACTCTGTCATCACCATGATTATGGTTCCCAGAGGGATTAGCTGGCCCTCTCCTGGGGGCCGCTTTTCCCTTTGCTGGTCTTATCTTTCCCTTCCTCCCCCTCCTCCCCCCCCCCCCCCAGACAGGGTTTCTCTGTGGCTTTGGAGCCTGTCCTGGAACTAGCTCTGTAGACCAGGCTGGTCTCGAACTCACAGAGATCCACCTGTCTCTGCTTCCCGAGTGCTGGGATTAAAGGCGTGCACCACCACCGTCCGGCCTCTCCTCCTCTTTTTTGTTGTTTCTTTGAGACCACATCTTACTATGAAGTCCAGTCTGACCTGGAATTTACAGCAATCCTTTTGCCTTAGCTTCCCCAATCATGGGATTCTAAGCTTGTATCATCTTGCTTGACTTCTGTGTTATTCCTAATGGATCTGGTTAACAGCTCTGGCTTAATAAAATGTGTGCTGACTTGACAAGGTCAGAGGTCCCCTGGGGAAGAAAATCAAGAAAAATCTATTTGTGGTAGACCCCTGGAGAGCACAAGCTCTGGAAATCGGGTGTGGAAGTACTGTTGCTCTGTCTGGTATTGAAGCAGGAAGTTCATCTTCAACACCTATCTACTTACTCTTCTTGTTCCTCCCATGTATGTCCTGAGAGACAGGAGACTCTGGCCTTTAGCACATCCTGTGATACTATTAGACTTAAGTCCTCCTGCCATCAGACCCTTACCTTTGAATTCATTCATCCAGTTTTGCAAGCTGTTTCGGTAAAAGGAAGAATATGGGGAAGTACACTCATATGACTATTTCCTTCCTTCTTCAGGTACCTTCTGCTCACTGGACATCTGCCTGGCACAGCTGGAGGAGCTTGGCACCCTTAATGTGTTCCAGACAGTGTCGCGCATGAGGACACAGAGGGCCTTCAGTATCCAGACCCCTGAGCAGTACTACTTTTGCTACAAGGCCATTCTGGAATTTGCAGAGAAGGAAGGAATGGTTCCCTCTGGTCACAGCCTGTTGGCCATGGAGGGTCAGTAGCTGTTCCACGAGTTTCCACCTGCTGGCCAGCCTTCCTTAAACGACCCTGGACACCGCTGAGCCTATGGGTTGCCATCAGCTAGGCTGAAGCCATGGATCAACCTCTTTCTTGTGTCTCCCAGCGCACATGTGCACGCAAGGCAGCCTTTCCCTTTGGCTAGATAAATGTGGTGAAATTGCCACTAGAAAGGGCCAGCAGCAATGTGTTCTTTATTCCTAGCACCCGCTATTGAACTGTGCCTTACTAAAACCAAATTGTGGCTATTGATTTTTGCCAGGGTCCCTGAGGTAAGTGGGGAAGGAACCCCCATCTCCCAATGCCATTCTTCTAGAAGTCTCCTCCTTCCCTTTGCTAGGATTTGACAGGGAGGTTTGGTGAGCATTCATCTTCCTGCCCAGAGAGCTTGACCAAGTTACATATTCTAGAGAATATCCCGAGTGCCAAGCACGTTTATACATAGGGCGTGTATTCCAGTCTTTTCTGTCCTTCTGTGTGTGTGCGCGTGTACGTATGTGCACTTATGTGTATGGATCCATATGTATGTGTGTATATAATATATACTGTATGTGATAATATGGTTGTATTCTATAAATACATATACACACAGATACTCTTTGTAGATGTTCCTGGGGCTTCAACTCACAGTTGAGCATTCTTTGCTTCTTGGACCTTGCTGACTAGTCTGAACTAGCTGGGATTGGGGATCATGCTCCTGTTGTCAGACAGCAGAGTGATAGAAGACAACACATACTTTTTTCCCAGCCACAGGCTCCTCTTCCTTAATGACATCTTTCCCTTTGGACTCAATGCTTGTTGGAGCCAAAAATACTGACGACGGTAACACTGGTTCACTTTAGCATGGGTTGTCCTCCATCTAACAAATTTTCTGTTTACCTTGCTGATTTGGGGAACAGACCTCCACTGTGATTCCAGACTCTGTCTTACTTACCCCAGCAATGGGGTCCAAGGCTAGAGATGAATTTACAGAGCTGCCAGAGCCAAAAGTAATCGGTACGAAATCTTAAAAGAAAGGAGAATCCTGGAGTGACCGAGAGGAACCTACCATGAAACTCCCTTCCTGGGAGGACAAGCTGGGGCCCCTTTTTCTTTCATTGAAAGACCCTTTCTTTGTGTAACTCTTCCTAGTCGACTGAGATGCCCAGTTCTCCTTGCCTGCTAGCCTGCCAGATCCTAGACCTCAAACTAGATGTGTTCTATGTCCTTATAAAGTATAATAATCCCCTTGGCTGGATGAGGTAGTTCCTTGCAATCACTGGTCCCCTACCCATCCAGCTTGATCCTGTCTTTTCCCAGTCTGATTCGCCAGGAATAGAATCAAGAGTTCTCAACACTCAGTGTTCACACAAAACTCCACTGAGCCCCCCTAAATCTTCCCCTACTCCAGATGATGAGGTTGGCAGCTGGTCAGACCCAATAATTTTATACTGTAATAAGATCTTTGAATGTGTATATTCTTATTTTTTACAATCATTTCATTTTGTATTTAACATCAATGGACTGAGTCAGATTCAGTAAATAATTGTAATGTTCATATTCAATATCTTATAGTGGTACAGTTTTGTATTTACATATAAATATACCAACATGATTAAACCCTTTTAGCTTCATCAATTTAGCACTCTGGGGTTGGGAAGGTGGTTCTGGACAGATGGGGTGGCAGGGAGGGATCCAAAGCTTCACCATCTGAGATCCAGTTCTGAGAAGCACCTGCCATGTCTGTGGCTATGGCCTTACCTTTCAACAAAGGTACCAGTACCAACTGAATGCTTGTTGCATGGCAATCTTAGTGCTAATTGCTTTGTTTGTACGTTATTTCACTGAAACTTCATAATTCTAGTGAATATCCTGTCCCTTCTACACACCCTTCTCCCGTTTCTTCAGCATTGGGATTACGGACATGTGCTAATTCATCAGTCTTTCACTGAGTTATAAATGAGAAATATATACATATATATATATATGTATAATGATATAATAATATAATGCATAAGTGAGAACAGTGGGGTCCAGAGGAATACAGTGATTTGGTTTAAAACTGTAACCCAAACAAATGAAGTCTCTTGATTTACCAGAGACAGAATGGTGCTTGTCTTTGTTGTTGTTCCCCTTTTAGAGTAAGTATCATTGTTTTTAAAACTATAGGACAGTTCATGGTTTTGTTTCGTTTGAGACAGGAACTTACCAAGTTCAAGGACAGCAATTCTACCTCTGTTTCCCCAGGGCTGGGCTAATAAGGCCTACACTGCCTCACTCAGTTTAGGGAAATTTTTTTTTAAATAAAAATTTATTTATTAGGTATACAATATTCTGTCTGTATGCCTGAAGGGCAGAAGAGGGCGCCAGACCTCTTTACAGATGGTTGTGAGCCACCATGTGGTTGCTGGGAATTGAACTCAGGATCTTTGGAAGAGCAGGCAATGCTCTTAACCTCTGAGCCATCTCTCCAGCCCCTGTAGGGACTCTCTTCATATCATGTGCTTTCTAGCTGTTAGCCAGTGACAGCCTTCCCCCTTGGAGTAGCTGTGGCCTGCAATATGCAAATATTAGGGTGTTGTAAATAACAGGAATAACAAACAACATTTAATGGAAACCAACGTATTTTAGGTCCTGTTCAGAGTACTCTGTAGATACTAACACACTCTCAACAACTGCTTGAAGATAGGTGCTGATAGAAGAAAACAAGCCTTAACAATAAAAAGTCTGGAATAGGTAATTTAGAACTCTTATTTGTTCAAACTTGCTGTAACTTTGCCCTGTAAATTGCTCAATTCAAGGTTGTGCACTAGTTCCTAGGTGCAAATTCCTGGGCCCACCCAGTTGGTGGTTGAGTGAATAAACGATGACCTAGGCTTTTGAATTGTTATTTAACTCATGTCTCAGATTCTGGGCACAACCAATGATATCTCCTGAGTATTCAGTAAAATTCCCGAGAGAAAAGAGTTCAGTAGTTTTCCCAAACTGCTATTATGCAAAGTGCTATCTTTATTATTATTGAAATTTTTAATAAATTTTTGGTGTTTTTTAAATTTTATTTATTTTTTTCATTTTTCAGTTTTTCGGGACAGAGTTTCTCTGTAGCTTTGGAGCCTGTTCTGTAACTAGCTCTTGCAGACCAGGCTGGCCACAAACTCACAGAGATCCATCTGCCTGCCTCTGCCTCCTGAGTGCTGGGATTAAAGGCGTGTGCCACCACCGCCCGGCTTGACCGTCTATATGCTGGGATTTCAGGAGACTTGCCACCGTACCCAGCTGTTTGTAGCATTTGCCAGTGTGAGCCTACCTGTGATAGGGTTTTTGTTTTTTAGGTTTTGTTTGTTTGAGACAGGGTTTCTTTATAGAGCTCATGCTGTCCTGGAACACAGCTCCATCTGTGTGCCTCCCAAATGTTGGGTTGAAAGGAGTGTGCAACACACCTGGCTTGGTAGTAGGCATCAAAGGAACCTTTAAGGAAGAGAAGCCCAGAAGGTCATCATACAGGAGACAGGGAATAAAGCTAGGGAAATGTGTCCACGGAGTAATGAAACATTGTGGGCTTATGCAGACTTCTGATTGGATTATCCCTACCCCCCCACCCCCAACATTTCTATGGCTGTGCTCTGTATTGCTTCTTTCATTACAGTCAGAATGATGTTGAAGTGACCCTAGCACCTTCAGTCTAAGGAGATCTGCTACTGCCAGTGTCTGTTAGAATGTACTAGTCAATGGGTCTGAGTGGGGGAGTGGAAGAGGTTGGGTGCGTGTGGCATGTGGACTATGTAGTATCACAACCCCAGAAGAATTGGCTTTTGCTCATAAAAGGGGGCATCCAGTCTCCGGGGCAGCCCCAACTGCAGGAACTTGCAAATTAATGTGACCTGAGAGAGGTGAGCAGTAAGATTAAGGTGGATGCATTGATTAAACAGAAAGGTTTTCCTAGAATGACTGAGATCTTTAGTGGTTCCAAGGGTTTTAACCTCCTCAATCCAACCAAGTCCTAGCGTCCTTCTTTAAATGGGACTACTTTAGACAATCACATACTATGGGTCCACTGACCCTAAAGGCCTAGTTTGTTGGAATTATCAGACTCTTTCTTTGGCTAGATCCCCCACTTTAGCTCCCCAAGTTTCTCTTATTCCCAAAGACCCCTCTTTCAAACTCTTGCCATTTCCTTACATTCCCTCAGTTCTTTTCTACTTGGCCCCCAAGTTGGATAGAAAGTAGGTTAAGAGCCAGGTTTGGTGGTGTGTATCTTTAATCCTAGCACTGAGAAGGCAAAGGCAGGCAGATCTCTATTGAGTTTGAGGCCTGCCTGGTCTGCATTGCAAGTTCCTAGATAACCAAGGTTACATACAGAGACCCTGTCTTAAAACATAAAATAAAAGGAAAGAAGTAGGAGGAGGAAGATATACCCTTGAATCTCCAGCCTTTTTGTCTTCCCTGTTGCTCCCTGTGGTATGACAGGTGTCTGAGAGCCAGAGTTAACTTGCCAAGCATCCTAGGTCTTCTAATTTCTGTCTTAGATTTGTCTTTGGCCTGGGTCACTGTCCATAGGTGAAAGCAGAAGGTCTGCCAGCCAGGGAGTCAGACTTTTTGGGGGGAGCTATCGTTCCAATAATTAGCCATCAAACAATTTTTGCATTACGCTATCTGTACTTAATTGCTGAGGGAATCTCCATCTGCTTCTTAGCCATGGCCGTTATAGTGCCTTTTCCCCGTTTCAGTTAAACTGGCCATACTGAAGTGTCAGACTCAAGCTTTTCAGGCTAAAGCCCTGGAGGATATAGCACCACACTAGACTCTCTAAGGAAGATAGGTTTTGGTTTTTTGAGACAGGGTTTCTCTGTGTAGCTTTTAGAGCCTGTCCCGGAACTAGCTCTGTAGACAGGCTGGTCTCAAACTCACAGAGATCCACCTGCCTCTACCAAGTGCTGGGAGTAACGGGGGGCACCATCACCGACCGGCTCCACCTGGCTCTTTATTTAACAAGGCACAGCACTCAGGATATAGAGGCAGATGGATCTCCGTGAGTTCGAGTCCAGCCTGGTCTACAAGAGCTAATTCTAAGACAGCTAGGACTGTTACACAGAGAAACCCTATCTTGCAAAACAAAACAAAACTGAACAGTTTAAAGTAGTTGATATGTTCATGATGGTTACTGGGACTCTGATGATTATAGTCACTAAAGGCCCCCTCACTCCAGGCTGACTTCCCTGTGCTTGTATACCATATTAAATTCTTGTTTTCCAATCTACTGCAGAATTTTGTCTTAAAACCTTCAAGTCTAGGCAGATACAGAGCAGAGCAAAGGTCAGCCAGTTCATCTAGTGACATCTCTTCATTTACTTCCTGACTTAAGTACATATCCTTGCAGGGGCTGTCTGGGAGGAAACTTGAGGCAATGGGGAAGGAATATGGATAGTGCTTAGGCTGCCTTCACTTCAGGGTACCTTTTTCTTTGATAGTGGGCTTCTCAGAGTTTATGTGAGCAGAGGAACCTGTTGTTTTAATAAAAAAGGTACCAGCCACCAATCTGTCTATAAAACAGCGCCAGATAAACTTGGGGAATATACTATTACTACATCTGCCTTCCTGATTTAGGATAATAGTGGCCCTGGGTAAACTCGTGTTCAGTGAAGAGAAGACATTTCCAGGTTGTGAGTAACCTCAGTTTTTAAGCCCACTAAGAAATCCCAACCGGAGCCAGAGAGATGGCTCAGTGATTAAGAGCACTGACTGCTATTCCAGAGGACCTGGGTTCAGTTCCCAGCACCCACGTGGCATCTAACAACTGTCTGTAGCTCCAAGATCTGATACCCTCTCATAGACATATATGTAGGCAAAACACCAATGCACATAAAAATAAATAATAATAGAAATTCCAACTTTCCAATAAAAAATACTGTAGTATATGCCACTGAAGATGAGAGTTTTTTCTTTGAGGTAGCAATGCAAGGACTTTGCAGTTAATTGACCAGGAGAGGAGCGTTGTAACATTGAAAAAGGAAGAAAAAGTGAAGGACTCATGAGTGGAGGCTAGACATACTTAATTTAAATTTCCTAAAATACTACAGCCCACTGTAGTACAGAACCTTACTAATCAAAGATACATGATTTGCTTAAATAATCTAGCTATAAGGTGGTTAAACTTTGTTTGTTTTAATTTTTTCTCTGTAGCTTTGGGGCCTTTCCCAGAACTAGCTCTTGTAGACCAGACTGGCCTCGAACTATTAGAGATCCACCTGCCTCTGCCTCTGGAGTGCTGGGATTAAAGGTGTGCCACCACCACCTGCTGCTAGCTCACATTTTTGAAACAGAATGAGCTAAGCACATCTGTGTTACAAGTGCTCACATTTGCATTACTAGCTCTGAGGACTCAGGAGGCTTGGGTACGATCATCATGGATTTTAGGCCAGCGGGGCTATGTGAAACCCTTTCTCAAAAAATAAGGTGTGTTGTGGGGAGGGGAGGGACTTGAGAGACAGTCAAGTTTTTGTCCCACAAGAACGAAGCCAAGTTCAATTTCCTGCACCCATGGAAATCAACATGGGTGGCATAAGCTTTTAATTCCAGCAACAGGGAAGAGAAGGTAGGCCAGAGACACTGGTGTGTGAAGG